ACGCCCCGTCTGTAGTAAGGACAGCCAAAATGTTATAGCAAAAATGGAGATATGGTGACAACTACATACTCATACTCGAATCACACTTCATAAAGTACAGTACTTCATCACCACCGGTGCCACCATTTCACATCATTGTGCCCGTCCATGGCAGATGATATCATGGTTATTCAACCAACCCCCCAAACAAAGGTCATTTACCCCCCGAGAGAATCAGGGATATCAGGATTTATTAAGGGCGGTTAATGATATCTCTGGATAGTTACGGATATCTAGGCTTGATTCTATAGGTATAGTACTTGCTGCATCTTGCTGCAACGATGTAGTAAATGAAGGGATGATGATCATTAGATCTATTCTTTTCTGGGAGCAACTTCAATACCAACAGCCATCATTTTCACGCCGTGAGGAGCTGCCAAATTTGCAGGGCGCTTTGTTTAGCCTTTCCTCGGTACGCGCGTGACGTCGTTTTCCAGTCGTGGGGCGGATGGCTGACTGAAGAGTGCCTGGTGGTGACACATCCCCTGGTTATTTCACATAGCTATGATGTATAGAGGATTTTTGATGACTTACCTTTTTCGGAAATGATGATTTTCCATGGCTACAGAGGGTAATATGTGTGAGATTAAAATTGTTGATAATTCGTTCATGAAAGAATCTGCCTGTTCATGGTCCTACAGGAGGCATCCACATTGGGATTCTATTTTGCAGGAGCCGCGTACACAATTTTAGATGTCAATGAGGGGGTTCCCAAGTTGGGGTCGGAGTGAGCATATGTGGTACAGGGTTTACAGAGATTTCTGAATGTTAACATGGTGCCCTCCTCAACGTTTGGAAGGAGTTGTTTTGTTTCCATTCGCCCGCATTCTACTGAAGGCTACTGATCATGAGTGAAAGATGACTTCACATGGATGGTTTGAAATCATTGTTCCTTCCTGAGACATTCATTTCTATACATAGTAATTTGATTCAATGACATAACTTTATTGTTCCATAATTGCATATGTGTGTTTATATTTACAATTATAAGTGTCATCTTGTAAGTTTAGATCCTTCTATTCATATATCAAAACATGCTCACATATCACGATTTCAGCAACATGTCACGCACACACACACACATCACACTGCAGTCATTTTTTCACAACTTCCGTTTGAGCACTGACCAAAACCCCTGATGTGTTTTTTTGTACGAGTTTTTGTACGAACACGTATGTATCACCTGGTGTACATGTGGGGTTTTCATGAACTGGGAATTCAGTTCTCAACCAGAATACAGGTGCATGTGCATTCATCCCCCCAAACAAGAAAGGTGAAAGGTTCAACAAAAGACGCTTAAGATTTGCCCTTATAAATTACTGGGAGAATCACCGACCTGGGGATTTGCCCATTTTAATCATTAAATATCCAATAAAAACTTCCAGTATGGTTGGTTCATGCTGCTTCTATACACCTATGTTTGTTGGTTTAATCACAACTAATAGCAAATATCTAGATGGTTAGATTATGGAAAAAAACACATAGATGCCAGATATTTTTGATACTTAAATCATATTAAATCCCTACCCCCAGAAGTTCTCCTTCCTTTTTACTGGTCCCTGACAGGTGGGTGGCATGTTGGGCCCCATGGCGGCACGAATTTATTTCCACCTCTTTCAGCAGGCGAAGGCACGGTGCTTGTAGCGGTTGTGGGACGTTGACTCTAAACACACAAAGGAAGTGGAAAACACTAAAAAAAATGCATATCAACCAGCTCTTGAAATTATGATATATAATTATATATTATATTATATATATATTATATATTATATATATATTAGATATATTATATTATATATAATATATGTATACACCCTGATAATTTCACATAGCTATTGAAATTGCCATTTATAGTTGATTTACCCATTCAAAGTGACTATTTTCCACAGCTATGTTTGTTTACCAGAGGGTACCTGATTATTAGCAGCTTTGTAAATGGGTAGAACCACAATGGGGATGCAATGGGTATGTACCATTTTATATAGATGTTCGATGAGTCGATGATCATGGTCGTTATCAACAAATTGACCTAACATCAAATGCTGAGTAGAAAATTAGATACTTTAGTCAAAGATTTTGAGTTGCCAGATGCTTTGCGACCTAAAGTGGATAACAAAACGGACCCACACATGGCTATTTTTTCCACTGTTTAACCATTCGATTGTGGTCAAACAATTGAAATCAACATCGATTTTAACCAGTTCGAGTTGGTTATAACATGCATTATTATATGGATAAATGGACCCACATTTTTTTTCAATTGACCTTCTGGTCATTTAAGACTGCTGTCTGTAGAGTCCTGTAGACTGGATATGCTTGGCTGATCTTAATGGACAAACATTGTTGGGTGACTGGCAGATATCGAAGCAACCGTGTATGTTGTTTGTTCAGAATCGGTTTAGTGATGTTTAGTGATGTTTAATGATGACTAATCATGTTTAATGACATTTAATGGTGCTTAATGATGTTTAATGATGTTCAATGATGTTCAATGATGTTGTTTAATGATGTTTAATGTGTTTCATGTTTTGCTTCTCCGTCCCTATTTGATTTGGCAAATTTGGGTTTGAACTCCAGAATGATTCCTCTGTTTGGTACGGGTCAAAACTGTCCGAAACCCCTTGCGTTAAGCATTGTCCCATGATATTGATATATGGCAAGGCATGTTCTAAGATTTTTCCCAAGATATGTCTTAAGATTATCATTGTCCATGTTATTTCCCAAATATTCCCAGATCATTTCCTCAGATACCATGCACCCCATGATATCCCCTCAGGCCCCGCAGAATGAGCAGTTTCGTGGAAGGCGTGGATCATAGACTGCCATAGATGCCACGTAACTATATAGCCACAATACTGACAATACATATATATATATATGATTATATATGTAATACATCATGCACTGCACTTACAGTAACTTATGAATATAAATATATATATATATATGCCACACTGCATGCAAACACAATGTATATACTGTATGTGTGTATATATATATATACGTTAGTAACCGTTAGTATTAGGTATGAATGCATGATTTACCTCGCTATCATATTGTATCAGTTCATGGAAAGGCAATGACCCTACATTGCAGGCACTAGAAGCAGAAACCAGACATGCTCGAAAATCACCTCCCAGCCAGCTCCAGGACCTTTGCGACATACGCTTGAAGGCACACCGTGACTCAACGGCGATCCTTGCAGTTGCTAAAAGTGGATGGGCTGGAGAGCTACAAACGAATTGCTTCATGTACCTTGAATACAGAACGGTATACTTTTTGTTCATATATATATAATTATATGTATATATACATACACATATGTACAGGTTTGTGTACATACACACTTGTCATTTTTTTGTGAACTTGTATGACCAGTTTGACGGGCAATTGTGGGATTTCCCCCCAGTTTTGGGGATACCTTAAGAACTGATTCGCATTGTGCACGCCTCCCTATGTTTTTGTTTCGCCAGATTTGCTTGATATAAGCCTTGGTTTGTTTCGGTGGCAGAAACAACTAGAAGTTGGTAGTTGTGCCTGCCAATGCCCTTCTGCTCGCATGGTTTCCAGACCAAGAGGCCCCACTGTGTGGACAAGACGTCCTGCAAACTGTGTGGTAGAGCCTTTGTACAAATGCCATGTAGTTGCGCAAAGTGCGCAGTACGGCAGAGCTTGCGAATGTTGACGATGAAAACCACTTGTCCATTTGTCCATATTTCCCACAGCCGCTGCAATCAAACACATAGTTTTTCCATCCACGTCCCATCTTATTCAGGATACACTTAGTCTTCACTTATATCGTTACCATCACAATCATTACAGTGCTTCAGTTTACAATATTCGAAATTATCAACTGACATATGTATATATATATATATATGCACGTAATTATATATACATACACAGGATTGTGGTGACAGAAATTTCATCCTCACTGAATATACCATCCCCTCAACCAAAACAGACCTTGAGAACAACCAATCCCAAGCGGAAAGTAGTCTTCAACCACCCTATTTGGTAGGGTCTATGTTACTTGAAGGGATAGTGTATATATCCGTATAATTCCGTATATACATATTCCATTCCATCTCTTCTTCTAGTGGTGTCATTCCCACTTTTGTTGGCATAGTCCGTGTTATCCAGTTGACCAGTGGACGAATGGGTTTGTCTGAGCATTGGGTACCATTAAATTTTCAGCTTAGTTATCATGCCCTCCATTGAAATTGGGGTCCCCAATGAAATTAATCTCCAGTAATCAAACGTGGCAATGGACAATTCACCATTTATAGATGACTATTATCCCATTAAAACCTCTATTTATGGGTGATTTTCACTTGCCATGTTTGATTACCAGTTTGGGTCATTTCAAGAAGAACAATCGTTGACCAAGCCGCGTTGTTTCAACCAGTCCGAAGCAAGTAGGTGTCTTCACAAGGACACTTGGCTCATCATGTTCCCTACTGTGGATGGAAGAAATCCTGCACCACTTAATGGATGCTTTCTCCCATTATTTTTAGGGTTTGAACCATCCAAGGTGGTGCAGGATTTCTTCCATCCACAGTATTATCATATTCTCATGAAAGGATAGGTTTCATCCCCTGCCTTGGCGGAACTCGGCGTCACCTCCGAAGTTTCCATCCTTGCTTTTACATGTTTTTGCCATGAGCCAAGCGGCAGGGGGTGGGAATGATGTCAATACCCCTTTACATTCCATAAACTGGTTCTTTTAAGCCTTGTTGCTTCTATAAATTCTTCACCCTCTGGCTTTTACATGTTTTTACGACAAAATCTCGGTCCAATCTCCATTGAAAAATATGGATATCAGTAGATATCATTAGAATTCATTATAGATATCTATAGATTTTTCCTATACTATAGATATACTATACAATCTATAGATATCATTACTATATCATTACTATAGTAAGATTTTCCTCAGTGCCCCCTCTCGGTCTCTCCAGGTGCTTGTGGATCGGCACTGGCGGTGGACGCGAAGACCTGCGCTTTCTGACGGAGGGCGGCTTCGATGGCGCGTACGCGACGGAGAGTGGGAGCGCCATTTCATGGCAGCTACGTTCAATTTCCCCTGGTGACATGAAAGATACCCTCTGGTTATTTAACGTAGCCATGGAAAATGGCCCATCTATAGATGGTTTACCCATTATAAATGGTGATTTTCCATGGCTATGTTAAATAACCAGATCACGAAAGGTAGCTCCAGAGGGGCTACCTTGAGTTTTACTTTACGAAGTAAAGGGGAGGGCGGCCAGCCCCGTTACCTGATTCTTCAGGAGATTGCTAGTCATTTTAGTACCCCCCCCCTCCTCCACACCTCCCACGCACCCTAAGAGCAGACTCAAAACATTGTAATTTACAGTATTTTTGTTCTTTTCGGATCAAGAAACCACATTTTGCTACATGGTGAAACCTCCGTAAATACCAGTGTTTTTGCTAGGTGCTGGCCAAAAAACACTGTAAATACCGTGCTTTTTACTACCAGAGGCAAAAAACATCGTAAATACCGTGGTTTTGGGCTTCCGACCCGCCAAAAACATTGGTATTTACGGTGTTTTTTGCTCCGAGCGATGCAAAAACACGCGAAAACACCACCGATTTGACGATTTTCGGCCACTACGGAACCGAGCAAAAACGCTGCAGGGGTAACACCAACACCGACAAGAACAACACCAACAGCAACAGCAACAGCAACAGCAACAACAACAACAACAACGACGACGACAACAACAACAACAACAACAACAACAACAACAACAACAACAACAACAACGCACAACGCACAACGCACAACGCACAACGCACAACGCACAAAGCACAACGCACAACGCACAACGCACAACGCACATCACACAACACACAAAACACACAAAACACACAACACACACAACACACACACACACACAACACACACACACACAACACACAACACACAACACACACAACACACACACAACACACATACAACACACACACACACAACACACACACACACAACACACACAACACACGCAACACACACACACACAACACACACACACACAACACACACACACACACACACAACACACACAACGCACACAATACACACACACACAACACACACAACACACACAACACACACAACACACAACAACACATAACAACACACCACAACGCACAACAACACACCACAACACACAACAACACACAACAACCACAACAACCACAACAACCACAACAACCACAACAACCACAACAACTACAACAACAACGAATGACAACAATAACAACAACAACAACAACACACAACAACACACAACAACAACAACAAACAACAACACAACAACACACAACAACACACAACAACACACAACAACACACAACAACACACAAACAACACACAACAACACACAACAACACACAACAACAACAACAACAACAACAACACACACACAACAACAACAACAACAACAACACACAACAACAACAACACACAACAACAACACAACAACAACACACAACAACACACAACAACACACAACAACACACACACAACACACAACAACACACAACAACACAGCACACACACACCACACACACACACAACACACACACAACAACACACACAACAACACAACAACACACAACAACACACAACAACACACAACAACACACAACAACACACAACAACACACAACAACACACCACAACACACCACAACACACAACAACACACAACAACACACAACAACACACAACAACAACAACAACAACAACAACAACAACGAACAACAACAACAACAACAACAATCAACAACAACAACAACAACACCATCAGCAGCAGCAGCACAACAACAACAACAGCAACAACAACAACAACAACACGAACACAAACAATACCAACACCAACAACACGACCAACAACACCAACACCACCAACAAACCCAACCACACCAACAACACAAACAACACTAACAACACCAGAAACACTACCACCACCAACAACACCAACAACACCAATACCAACAACACCAACAACACCAACACCACCAGCACCACCAACACCACCAACACCACAACCGCCACCAACCCCAACCACATCGCCGAAGCCTTTCAGTCGCTTTTACCAGACTCCCCTTCATATTTTTGGAAAGAAACTGGCCGCGTCGCTTTTACCAGACTCCACTTTATGTTTTTTCCCTGCCCTCTCCCCTTCATTTTTTCTTCGGTTCCTTTCTTGCTTACCTACCTTTCGTGTTCCCCCTCTCAAGTGGTAATTATTAATTGCAATGAACTACGTATGTTTTATGATTGATCTTATATACACATGATATATATGTATAATTATTCATGTAACTGAGTAATTGTGAACGTAGATGTATGAAATATGTTTAACATGTGTTTCATGTTTTGTCCCATACTGAGGTGGCAACAATCCACAATTAACATGTGTTGCTACATGTTGCTACCCCTTTCTGAACAAATAATTTGAATTGTTTATTAACTTCCCCTTGTCTTCATGAGGGATCAAATCCCCTACCTCCTCTAAACTTCAGTTGACTTCCGGCACGGTTCAAATGTAGGGTTCAGTTGGCTGCCGGCACGATCAAACGTAGGGCTCGCAGCGAACATGTTTTAAACATGTTCCCTCCTAACCCCACATTGGCCAATGTTCATCATATCCAAATACTTGTCCCCAGATGTAGAAAAATTCTGGCTATACACAGCGATTTTGACTTTGTTTTCCGGAGATAGGTTTTAGAGTTTTTGGTTTTGGGGTTTGGCAATATGTTTTTTCAAAAACGCCGGCCCCAGGCAGGGATTTGAGCATGTCAGCGGGTATGTGGGAATGGACCACCGGCAAGTGTAGGGTTTGCGGTGAACATAGTTAACCCTGTCTATAAACGCAAGTGCTTAAACATATCCACCATAAATATCCATAAATCCCAACTCAGCCTATCCAACCTACCCTAGCCATTCGTTGAAAAACGTCAGCTGGTGAAGCCCAATTGGGTCGGCGGTTTCCAGGTACACCTATTTCGCAGCCGAGGGTTTTACACCTGGTCCTCCCGGCATGTTTTCCGAATCGCAAGTCCTAACTAGAGAATGCCATTGTGATTGGTTTGCATATATATATATATATTTACATATAATTATAATATATATTGTACACTAGTATAGTACACATTACACCTATGTGTGTATATATATATACACATGCATTACACCTGCATATATGTTTGATATACGTACATTATGTATTTATAATTTTATATGCATAGATAGGATTACTTGAAGATGACCATGGAGTTGGTTCCAGCCATGATGATCACCTTAGATCTACCGGTCCTCATAGCTCAAGTGAAAGGTTACCTTCTTTATCCGCAGGCTTTGCGAATGGTTCCAAGAGTCTGGAACCACTTCTACAAGGTGGGCCCAATAGTTATTGGGGTGTGGCCCCTGAGGCTCCAACACCAAGAGTTGGCAAGACGTCTCCGAGCAGGGGCTCCGAGGGCCGGAGTTGGAAATCCCTTGCAATGCGGGGCCCCAGTTCGCTAGCTAAGTTGGTAACTATAGGTGAACTAGGGTTTATGGATGTTGCATCGATCGTTAGACGGGATGGAAAACTAACAAACATGACTCGGAGGCCCAGATTGTGGAAATGGATGACAATCCAGTGGAAATGGGGGGATATCGACCAGCCATCCGTTGAGGACACTGTTGCAGGTAAGGGCAACAGTCCTGACAGTGGATACACTCCCATGTCCTCAAACATGGCTGGCTGGGAAACCCTCTATAAATGGATGCTTTAATGGGTAAGGCACTTAACTAAATAGACGAGACTCATAGAATGTTCCATTGCCATGTTTGATTAACAAAGGGTAGGCTTAATAATGCCGCCTCCAAACGTAGGGAATCGTATGGAATCGCTGAATTTCTGAATCCGCAACTTTTGGCTACGACCGGTTCGGCAGAGGCGCTTGAAAAAGATTGGCAAGATCTTCGTCCCATCCGTGGGACCTGGGTCTCTTGGCTTTTTCAGGGACATGGGTCACCTGGTTTGATCATGTCGAGATGCATGGGACCGCATGATTGATGTGGGTTTATATAATGATTATATACTCATTACATCTAATCAGTAGTTTTGGTTACCCAGTTGTGACCTATCACCATTTGTTTGAATAAAACATGTGGACATTGTGTACAGCATTTGAGAGCATGTTTTTGCTTTGACATGTTCTTTGCGCATTGACAAACCAACGGGACTGGATCACCATATTCATGCCATTCCCTTTTGAGTCTCAAAACCTATAAAGTTGTTTGAAACCACTAGGTGATTGGGGTGTTCCAAAATTGAGGGGTTGTTTTTCCCTGGCTCAGCTCCTTTTGGCATTTTTTGTTTTGCTGTATACAATACATACATGCATCTATGTTATGTATGTATATGTTATATAATACACACAGAAAGCACAGTAAATGGCAGAAGTGACTCAACGATCAGTGAATGTTGGTGGTTGAGTCCCCCGCGAAGGGGCCACAGATCTGGATGATACCCTCCGGTGTCCTCGAACATGGCAATGTCAAGAAAATCTACATTGATCATATTCCCATCTAGAAACCTCCATTTATCTCCATTTATCATCATTCATAGGGGATTTTCCCATATGTTCCATGGTTTTCGCATGGTTTTCCCATGGTTTTCCCATGGTTTTCCCATCTATAAACCTCCATGGATCGGAGATTTCCCAGCCCAGGTATGACGATACCCGGATTCGACCCTGGAACAAGCACAACATTCGCCTCCGTAAAGACGGAGCGTCGCTTGGCGTTCCGGGGTGAACAACGTCCTGGTTTCGTGGGGGTTACATGTTTTTTTGCGTATCTTTTTGTTTTTACGTGTGCTTGTAATATCTTATAATATCATATAATATCATATAATTAATATCATATAATTTATTACGCTATATTATAATATATTATAGTATCTTATAACCATACGTCATTCGCAGCTATATATGTTATAAGTTATTTTATAACACGTCATAAAAAGTGACAAAACAGTGCTGTTGTGGGAACCCTGTAGACCAACGAGTACAAGAGCAGGACGGCGATATGAATGCTGATCACCGGGGGTAAACAGACTGGTGAATGGTCGGTGAATGACTTATTGTTGGTGTGCCACATGCCATGTCTGAAAATGGTGGCCTTCACCCCATAAAATGGCTAATATTAGTAGGTAAAATGATGATCAATGGCTGGAATGGGATGCCCAATTATCTCCAGGTTTTGCAGTGATACACAGCTAACATTGGCTATGTTTTGTTTAAGCAAGGCTATCATGAGTAGCCATGAGTAGCCTAGATCCCCTTTGAATCAATAAGAATCATGTGAATCTTGGCTCTCAAGGCTTCGAAGCAGGTATGAATCCTACATGGTACTCCACCACTACATCCACCCAGATTTCCGAAAACTCCAGGAGCTTCAAAATCTGCTGTTTCTTTTCAGTTTTAACTAGTTAAACACCTAAACGTTGGGATATCTGGCGAACTTCGCGGCCAGGTCCTACGATAGGATGTGGTCAGCGGCTCTGAGAAGCATCTGGGCTAAGCGTCTAGTTGAATTTGTTGGCCAAAAATTGATAGCATGATCATTAGTGACAATTCCACCACATGTGACATGTCATTCTGCTTGGGACTGCAATGTGAATTCTTATCTCTCACTATCCAATGACCATCGCATAGAAGTTGCGTGATTTCAGTTGCGAAATGACATTGCACACCTTGGCTTGCCATTTCAATAGGTATACGGATACGGCTGAGAATTGGAGTACAAAATGAACCCACCAAATATGCAAGTTCTTGGATTTGTTTGGTCTATCATATCAAAATTAGGCTCAAGCATGTTTGAGCCATACCCATAAAATATAGTCAAACCAACCGTGCTGTAAAGATTCGAAATTTGACGTACCACTGGGGAAGATGTTCACCAAATGAAACCGATGATTTGCTACAGGTTTAGCAGGTGGCCTGGATGGTGAACCCTCCCTTTGTATGTCTGTGTCTAGTATGTATGAATATATTGATCTATACAATACATACGCGCGTGTGTATATAGAAAATGTAGATATATGCGTATTATTGTAATAAACTATAAACGATAACTCACATAAATATGTGTATATAATTATATATATACATATTTACACACAGATACATATTTATATATATATAATACTATACACTACACGGAAGTTTAAGGACTGACACCTCCCGCTAAGGTCGACCACACGCCATATCAGCCGCTTGATGAACGGCAGGGAGGAGGGTTTTTGGAATCAGTTGACGTCGTCGACTCCGCAATTGGTTTGACGTGGTATATTGTGGACTCAAGCAACAAACATGGTGGTATACTGGGGTTATAATGGGATATGTATATATAATATACATATATATATATATGTATATATATATATTGATTGACATCTATATATATATTAATTGATATATATATATATATTAATTGATATATATATATTAATTGATATATATATATATATATACACATCACATGTATATATATATATATATTGTAGATAATCAAGATGATATGATATTTGGAAAATGGTGTACAAAAAAAGCATTGGATTGTCATCAATGATGTTCTCAATTCGAAAAATGGTCATTTAGAAGGTAGACCCCCATTTTCCGAGCCATTTGGGATCAAGTCCTTCAGGTACACCATCTTCATTTTGGGGCATGGTTCTTCCTAAGAATGGTTCCAAACGATTACTTTTTCAGGGAATTGGTTGAAGGGAACATTTGCAAGAAAACATGTTTTTTGTATGTTGTTGTATGGATATTCCCATAAACCACCCAGTGAATAGCCAAAAACAAACCGAATCCAACGACCAGGTAAGACATCTGAGAATCTCGGGCCTCAGGTCACATCTTACAACGAGTGGGGTGAAGGAACGCAGATTGAACCCGCGATGAAACATCGGAGTGCGAAAGGCCTGCGTTTGCTTGTGAAAGTTACGGGACATTTCCGCACAATTTTTGATTCAACTTGATTCAACCACCAAGAAAGATCTATACTAAGAGGACTTCAGCATCCAAGGAGATTTAAAGCATGGAACATCACTGTGGTGATCTGCCCCTGGGGAGATGACAGTCTGTCGTGGTTATGGATATCCCCGTGCTGCAACCGCCAGACAAATGTTGGGGTATTCCTATGTCCAGACAAAGCCATATACTGTCCACCACACATGAGTACATGTTGCATCGAAGTATGGTATGTTCGTATGTACTCTGGTGCATGATGTGTCTAGACTCTAAACATGCAAATATTTGATCAAGGTGTTCCATTTGCAATCTACTGTTGAAAAATGTTGAAATTGACAACACAAGTGGCGTTTGGGATGGGTGATGGGTGTGGCATGTTACGCATGTTACGCACCATCCACCGGAACACCACCCAAGATATCCTCAAGTCAGATGACATAGCCTCCGGGTGGCCAGATGTTGTACTGGCCCCAAATGACATAGGAAAAGTGTGATAGGTCGAAACAAAAAAATTGGCCATGACATATGTCCAAAATCTTTCAGGCAAGATATCACGTCCCCCCAAAACGCCAAAAGATCCTGCAAAACATGCTATTTCGCCCCTCAGATGTGAAATCATCAGATTTCGGCTGGGATAGGGACTCCAAGATTAGCACTCAGAAGCTGCAAAGGCCTGATTGATTTATACGAATTTGTGAAATCTTGTGAAATCTATGCATGTCCCCAGACCTCATGACATGGCACCTTGAGCTTCCAATAATACCAGAGTGGGAGATTGACCGCCTAAGCAAAAGAATGGAAATGAAAGGGACAAAAAAAGAGTAACAGAAAGGGAGAAAACACGTAAAAAATGGCAACTGAAAAGGTGATTGAAGAAGATGGACGTAACGTGACGTAAATGTAAGGTGTATTTTTGCAGGCTCAAAGTGTCATGTCCCGAGGTTTGGGGACATGCATTGATGTCAGGTGCTGTTTCATGGAAGGGAATAAAAGGAAATGCTGGGGAACATGACAGGAAAACAGCGCTCGGCACAAATCCGCGTCCCGAAACTGAAGAGCAACAAAAACAAATTGGTGTTACATGATGTTACTTTTTTTTTGTAAATGAACTGTTTGTCTGCAGAGCCACATATCAGGGTCATTAGGGAAACTGTATGAAATTGTGGCCTAAGTCCAAATTTATTTGTGTTACATGTTTTCTTCTGGGTCCAGATATGTCCAGATGACATGGCCCCGAGCCGCCTCCCGTCGTGAATTTCAGGCGAGTTCTATCCATCCTACAGCCCGCAAGAGTTGGGCCTCCCAGCGCACACTGTGCTGTCAGGGGTGTTTTGATGGCTTTGTTTTGGAGAATGCCAGATACCACTAAATACACCTAAATTGATCCTATTTAAATGCGACAAATGATGATCAGTCACCGGATTTTGATGGATTTGGGCGTTCCAAGCTTTGGGACACAGCCATAATACGATCGGAAAAACATGGGGAAACCAACACGAAACACCACCAGATCAGTGGGTCGGTACTTCCATCAGCCCTGATGAAGCACTGGTGAGAGATGGGAATCCTCTTGGGATCATGGCTTTTTTAGAAGTTGACAATGCGGCACTTGATTCTGTTTGGGCCAGAGAAACTCCAACTTACTGCTGTAAGTCAGATTAGCATAGTATATTATAGTAATATATCATAATGTTATATTTGTATATAATACTTATTATGCATAACACACATGCGCATAATATTATACACGTGAGATTTTTACATATGGATATATTTATATATACAACATATATATATATGCAGCATATGTATATATATATATACAGCATATATATATATATATATATATGTCATATTGTTATACATATAATTACTTATAATATTGATACTTCGCAAGGTTAAGAACATGAACATATATGATTGTTCTTATGCATTTGGTGTAAACGCAGGCCCCAGCGATCGGCCCAGGCACACGTACTACTTGGATATCACGCGCTACTGGTCCAGGACCTTTAAGGCCCCATCCTCTGCGGTTTCATACGGTTTAATGGGATTTCATGGGGATATGACATGATGGAGATCTACTGCTAGCCTCTTTGTGGGCACAATTTGGCTTATGTTTGAACGTTTCAATGGGAAAAACCTCGGAAAAAGGGAATCTAATGGTGTTTTTGAATGGAATAATCATGGGGAGGAACCATAGTCGGAGTTTCTTCTTTATGCGTACAACTACCGTACAACATGGTATAACCATTGGATCCATTGCCCCCATAAGTTTTGACCCTCGGGTGGGTTGAACATCTACGACTGTGCGTTTCCCGCGCAGCTGGGATGATCTGACCAGAAAACAAGATCCAACTGGGTACCCAGCGAGTGAAGCGCAATGTTTCCATGAAATCACAGGATGTGAATTTATCTCACATATATGGCTATAAAATGCTATAAATACGAACATTTGCATACACACATATGGTTTTATCGATCATTTTATGTATATATATAATCTATATATATAATATTTATTTATGTGTCTATAATTTCTTGAATTTCCTTTGTAATAATTATATAGCCACCCACAAGGGGATGGTTTATACTACCCATCTATGGTGAAATACGGGACGGTTTACCATTGCTTTACTGTTTCAGTCGTTGCCAGGAGGGTCAGTGTAGAGACAGCGTCGCAAAGAACGAGTTGTAGCGAAGAAAATGGGCGCTGCAGACTCTGGTTGGTTAAGAACGGGGTTATATATAGTTATATACAGGGATAACATATGTATATACCTATATACATGTATATATATGCGCGGTTTATGTCCGCATCTGAGTGCAATAAAGAAATGTGTCGTTTATATAGTATGTACAATGACCCCTAGATATTCTAATATTCTAACATGCATTAATCAATACATGATAATTGTACTATATATATATACAGTACACTATCCAATAGGCTCAAGAGACTGGTTATTGGATGATATGGCCATTCTGGTATATTGGGTCATGGGGAATAGGATAGTTTAACCCAGGACTTCATCAGTCAACGCCGCAGATCTGAGTTGAGACCATGGAAGCTAAATGGCACCGTTGTTTCTTTACCCTCGCGTGTCCTTCATTGGATCAACCAGTTGAAGACATGAGTTGTTGTTAGGCACTGGCCGAAGTGCACATGTGCAACAAGATCTTCGTACAAGTGTTCTCTTTCAGTGTCTAAACGTCCCTTTTATGCTGCAGTCGGTTTCCGAATGAGAATCAGTTTGCTACGGATTGCTAGTTGTGCTTTCGTCTTTTAATTCCCTAGTCTTCATGAATTGCACTGCCACTTTACATGTCAATGACCGCATCTCATCTCCATCAGACCAAATTAATCCTCTTAGAACGGCACATAAAAAGCATGTATATAAATCAAGTTTATGTAAATATTCCCCACATATTAATTCGCATGTTTTATTCCATATATTCCCCTGAAAAAAGTCCCATCTAAGCCGCTGAGCAGCACCCAGCCATGGCTTTTCTTCGCGGTCCAGGCATCAGCTGATTTCGCCAACAAAAATAAACAGGGAAACACCAGTGCATAGTTGATATTCATTGGTATATTTATTGGTATTTGATCTGATCTAAGGGAGTACTTATATATATATATACATATGTATACATACATACATATAGATGCCAATATGATGTGTCGCTTTGTTTGACAACGAGGGGGCACTTCGACATGACCACAAAGCTGTGCCAAAATGTTGGATCCGAAGCCGTAGCATCCCCAATTTGGGACCTGTCGGTGGGATTACCCTCTGGTAAACCATGGGAAAACCATAAGAAAGTTGTGATTTATATTGAAAATTTCCATGTTTAAATGTTTAATAGTCAAATCATCTACAAATCGGTCATTTTCCATAGCTATGTTAAACTGCCAGAGGGTATCCAGTAGGATAATCCAACAAGCAACCACTAGAGTCACTAGACATCTGCGGCCACAGGCAGACGCTGCCCTCGCTACCTGCGCTTGGCTCTGTGTGGTAGCCAAGCGAGCTGGCTGATGCTTGGGGTTGCTGGTGGGTCGGTGAGAATTGAATATATATGTATATATATATATACTATGGTGTGTAGATAGTTTTATCATCAGCGAAAACACATGAATGAAATTCCAGAATCCTGGCTGATTCTAGCTGATAAAGTGGATTCTGGGATTCCTTATTACTGGAATACACTGGGCTTTGTCGGGCCTCTATCCTAAGTTTCAATCTTTGCCAAACGTTAGGGATCAGCCCTGTTGAGAGTGCTGGAGATCTTTGAGTTGGGTTCAAGCAACCGGGCATAGAAGAAGATGGCGATGATGTCAGCCCTTGCAAGGGAGCCAACTATCTCCATTACACAGTGAAATCAACGGTCGTGATCTGACGGGTGCGCCCCCTGAACTGCCTTCAGGCAGGAACTGACCTGAACACTTAGTTTGGGGAGCCAAACGAATTATCGGAACTGACTAGGTTTTCATGATTTTCATGTATCTATGTGTCAACATGAACCAGGTTTGTCGTTGTGATATTGGATGTCATAATATGGTTGTGTCCATATTTTTCCGGCATCCAAAGTGCCAATTTATGGCTGTGGAATCCACCATGTTCGGGTCGTTCGGGTCCACAGCCATATCTGATATATCTAATAGGAGGCACTCACATTGGTTGCCGTTCAGGTTGCTTCTGGCCTTCTTGGGATGTCGATCAAGGGTGTCCTGGTTGAAGTTCTCTCCGGGTCATCTGGTGGCTTCATGCCATGAACGAATTCATGGGGATGTTGAATTTGAATTCTCATATTTTAGGAAGGATAATCATCAGCAATGTTGCCTTAATGTCACTTTAGTGGAGGGTTAACGGTGGTTTGATGATGGTTATATAGCATTGGGATATGAACAGCCTGCTTAAAGAGCTATTTTGGTGGTTTCGTTTTGGGCACTTTTTGGGGTACCAGGGTTTGGACCCATAGTCAAATGATTTCTGACTCCATTGCTATGACACCCATGCTGTTCAGCAGCCATTGCTTGGGGGACGGCTTTGAGGGCATTTCATCACTCCCTGAGGCTACGGCATGAGAGATGGACACCACTAGTCACCACTAGGGTATGTTTCGATCTATACCCACTTTCCCCAGTTGTATGCGTATAGTGTGAACATATCATATTTACTACGAGTATACATGTACTGTATCCACATACATAGATATTATCCTACACATAGCACATGTTGATATAATATATGTGCATTTTACTTTTATTATAAAAAAAAATGAACGACCATATCATATATATATAATTAGATATATATTTTATACGCATATCAATCGATAATAAATAAATAAATAAATAAATATATACACGCCATACATGTATGTGTATGATATATATGATTTATATATATATATATACACATTTATACATACATGCAGACATAGATACATAGTCAGTATAGTCCACTCCTCCCCAGGCCTTCATGGGTCTTCCATTTGAACGTCCAGCTCCGGCCCTCACGGCCCGAGCTCCGAGCTCCGAGCTAGCGCAGAATGTGGTGCTGGGAGACGTGGCGAAAATCGTGGTGAACGTCTGGTAACTTATAGAAGGTCTAATGGGAATCAATGGAATATTTATTAGAGGATATTGGGTGATATACCATATTACATTGGAATATACCATATATTATACCTCTAATAATCTATAACCATATATAGAAACGGACACATTTATTGGAGGATATTGGGTGATATACCATATAATAATATACATACATTGCAGGAAATTATAACCATAATATCTAATAGAATCAGAAATTGGGTGACTTATCATAATATACTTGGAGGATGGTAATCGGCATTGAGAGTAACTTCCATAGCTTCCCATGGCTTATATGGCTTCAGGATCCGCCTATGCCTCCAGCTATTTGCTAAAAGAAGACCAGATGGGCTCAAGCCTGCAGGCTGCATTGCCTGTTTTCGACCAGTGACTTGGGATTTACGGTGGGGAGCTGGGAGTCAAGAAAGTCAAGGGCACGGAGTACTGTTGTATATATGATATTACTGTTGAATTGCATATACCCTACAGTACAGTAATCAGATATGGTTTGCTGGAAAATCCACCATTTCTAGATAATGTTCCCATGAAAACACCTCCATTTACAGGGCATGTTCCATTCACACCTGCAATTCGCAGCGGATCCCTAGAACCCAAACTGCAAATTTGGATGAACTTGGGTGAGATTTGTTTGGAAGACCACTTTGCCTAAAACCTCCCAATATCTCCCAATCAAAAAGCGTCGCAAGATGTCTCATCCTGCCTGGGTAGCTCAGGATAGGTTTGGTCTTGCTTTTTGCTGCGACGGTGGTGGCTGTCGGAGTGTGGCTTGGGCAATCGGTGAAGCTATTGACTGAAATGGATTGAAATGGCATATGTGAATTGAGTCATCACATGTAATAGTGAAATGTCGTGAAAATTCCTGAAATGTGAACACAACTCTGGCATTAGTAAAAAAAATGTTAGACTGTTAGCATGACAAGAAACATGTTTGGGTCAAGGTACATCAAGCTGAATCTTTGGGGAGACTCTCGGCATCTTTTTTGGGATTGGTTGGGGGATTCCCAATGGGATTGTACTACCTTTGGTCATTTAACATAGCTATGGTTTAAATGGCCCATGAACATCGATGATTTTGATGATGTGCCGATTGAAACATAGTGATTCTGGTTCGCAAACTGTTGAATTACCAGAGGGTATTATCAAGTACTATCCTATGGTAGTCACCAATTATATAAGATAAACTCAGGTAACTCGAGAGTTGTGGGTCAGCTTAGATGTGATGCTACAAAATAAGATTAAATAAAGTATATCAGAAAAAATGGCCAATCCCAATGGGACTGAGGTCTTTTATGTTCCGGAATGATTCGGATGTGTTGTTTCTCTTACTGTTTCCGCAACGAAAAAACTTCTACTACATGTGTTTTTTCATTTCACAGTATTTATATATAGAAATTGTCGGATTATCCATATCATATGAGTGTGAGGATTCCTCGTTGGTTTGATAAATCCTGGTTGACGTTGAATAACCAACTCCTGAGTCGGTCTCTGTTTGGAGTTTTTTGCCTGAGAGGATAGGATGGACGGCACTGAAATGGATATTCCTAGGTTTAACAGAAAATTGCATGAAAACGTTGTTATTTGGAGGTAAAAAACAGGGTTTCCTTTCAGTATAGGACACGGATGGCTTTACTTGAGGTGACAAAGTTACGGTGGGTGGCGAAAAGCTGCCCACTCTGCATGGGAGAAGTTTTGAGGAATCCTTAAGCCATTTGATCCGAACTGGAGAAACTCCTTTAGGAGAAAACTTATGAATGGAATGATGTTTTTCATGTGTTTTTGCATATGTGAGTTGGAAATACAGCTGCAATTGGACTGATGTTCGGGAGTTACAAACTGTGGTTGGTTATTTCAGATGGTTAGTTGCACAAAAAGAGTGATGATTTGCCATTGCCGAGTGGTACCGCAATTGAACAGCCCGAGGGCTCAGCTCAGGAGATGGAAATGAAGTATTCCAAACAGCTTGCAGCCTGGGCAATGCGGATTCCAATGGAGCAATCCGCCAAAGCTGAAGGAGCCGCAGAGTTCCTTGGAATTCTCCGGTGGATTGGCCATTTGGAACATGTAGAATGTAGAAACAACATGAAACAACGCCACATGTTCCGGTCTATTCTTCCCAACTAACGCTACTGTAGTTTAAAGAAGAAACGACATAGTCTACTTGGCAGGAGGGGGCCTGTTCTGAAATCTATAATTGACTTCACAATGTTGGAGAACCAAGGATGAAACACTTAGATGGATGCCCTTTCTTCAAGTGTCACAAGTTGTTCCTCTTGGGACGTTCGTTTGTGTCTAGACTTTTGCAGGTGAGCCGAGCAATAGCAGCAGCAGTTGCAAGTTGTCCAGTCGTGGTGTTTGTTGATTCCCTGAGGCAATTGTCTGCCATCTTGACTGGATTCTTCTTGGCGCTTATTGCAGGAGTGGACCGGGATTCTGCAAGTTTTGTTTCGGAGTGAAAATGCAGGATGTCACCGTCAACAATCATAGGATTTACTGAGATTGCATGGCGTCTTCAAAGTCAAGACTTTCATCCACTAGTTATGCTATTATTATGTTATGATATATTATAATTTCCAGCGTACCTATTGATATAGTTAACTCCACGTAAAGTCACAATTTCTGTTGAAAACCGAAAACCAGTATTTTCCCGCAATCTGCATTTTTTGCCGAGTTACCTATCATTTGGGGGTCTCTTCCTATACGATTCAAGCTTCTTTTGCCCCCTTTAACTACCATTTGGGGCCCCCAAGGTGTATTTTTTATAAACCATTCATTATCATAAATCAAAAACTACCAAGTGATGTGAAGTCAACCAGTGTTATCCCATCTATCCATCCCCGTTTGAATTAAGTCATAGGAGGGTTTTGGAATTGCATACGTATAGTTGTAACATGCTGTAACTACCATAAACACAACAGTTCATCCACAATTCCATCCCCTTATAAAATATTAAACACACCACACCCTATGGATCCCTTTGACTGGGTCCCCCTATGTGGTTTCTCCTTCACTAAAGCATGGTTTCTAGGGGATATTCAGTACTAGTTGGAGCTGCATTTGGAGATATAATCGTAGTTATGGGGCTTATTATGGCTTATCCCAATTTATAGGGCTGAAAATCCCATGGTTGTACCATTAGTAGCCATAAAAATCACCCCAACTGCCCGAGAATGGCACGGCCCAAGCCCCCAGGACTCACCTCATTCACCTTCGGTCTCCTGGCAGACCTGGTCGTGGAACTCCTTCCGATCCTGGCGCTCTTGGTGCGGAACCTGGTCATGGATAAAACAAGAAGATGCGATAAGATGTATATGCGATTATAAAAGGGTGATAGGATGATATATGGGAACATATGGGAAGAAAATTCCGATATAGAACCAACATGAAGCAACAATATATTTGTATAATATATATATATATATATGTATTGATAATTATATATGTATATATTGATAATTACAATGTGAGGCCCCCAAGATAGCTAAGTTGGTTTATAACTCCAATAACTATGGTTTATGGTACTTATAACTAGAGTTACTCGGGCTTATAAACCAACTTATAACTGGGGGGGCTCACATTGTACATATATATATATATATATACACGCACATTGATATTTATTTGGGTGTGGACCTGAAGCCGGATTGTGTACCTTCCTTTCATGGCCATTGCAACAGAAAACTTGAGGTCAAATTGTTGGATGTCAAGATATCAGACCCCACAATGTTGCACCAACACCTTAAGTTGGGGATGGCGCTCAGCCCTATAGGGGAAAACATGCGCTTCTAACAACCGAGTTCTTTGTGAGACATCATTTCAGACATGTCGCCCGCAACATTTGAATGGCAGGATTTGCTGTAGGATTTGATGTATTTGTTCCAAAATATGTGATGAGCTGCGTCGGGCTGATCTTGGCCAATCCGGGCTCTGATGACGCAAGTGACACAGAGGAAACCTCTCATTCACTTGATGAGCCGGTCAAAGCGTTAGAGTTGCAAGGTGTCACAAGTGATTTCCACGAATGGAACCAATTTCTCAAAGAGAATGGGGTTACAGTGTCAGATCACAGCGTTTGCGATTCCTGTTTGACAAGGGAAGACGCTTTAAGCCGGATTTGGGGCCTGTTCCGAGTTTTCGCACAAACATACCTGGTGATTTATCTTGGTCATGGTCGAAAAGGTAGTGGAAACTGGGAAATGAGAGATGCTGATGTCACCTTGCTTGACATTGAGTCTGCCTGGCTTCAATTGGGGTACGTCCGGCACCTGAAAAACACTGCCACCATTGTGTGTGATTCCTGCTACAGTGGCAAGTGGCCATTGTTTGCCAGGAGCCTCCAAATTCCAGGCCTGCAAATTCAAAGTGCGGTGGACGGTGACACCTTAGCAAGGGACAGCTGTCCCACATTTTCACACATGTTTCTTCAAATGCAGGAAGGTCAGAAATTCCCTGAGCAGTTCCTTCATAGATGGAAGCCTCTTTGTTTTTCGGCTGCTGCAGATTGCACCGCTGGGGGTCCTTTGCATCTTGTTGGTGCAGAGCGGACTGCTTCATGACTTTACCTCCAGCAGCTCTACAATGGGTTCGGCGGCCAACTTGTGAACATTTCCCTTAGCCAGTCTTCGTCGCATGACGGCTCTGTGTTTCATAAGGCGATAGCAGAGGTTCAGGGTTCTCAAGTTGGCAAGATGGTAGTGGAAGCAGCGCAGCATGATCCTGTACCCTTCATCACACAGATTGAATGCAGTCTGAAGGCAAGACGATCCGGAGTCGTCTCACGCTTGCTGCTGGTCATGCTTCGACACTTAAATGTAGAGCAACTCGACATTGTTTTCGAGGAAAGCAACGAAGGTCTGGTTGATTTTTTGCTTGCCCATGGCTTCAAAACATTCTATGTACCAAACTTGTCGAGTGGCCAGATTCGTGCGGCTTGCAGGGTTTTGCGCCCAAAGCAGGTTGGCATTGCTTGGAATGAGGTGGAATTCTTTGAGGGGGCCAAGACACTCTTTGTGGAAAGCTTTCAACAGGCATACCATAGAATTCCTGAAGCTGATCTTGGGCTAGAGGGAATCAAAAAGGATGCCTGGCTGCATAAGACCATCGACAGTGAAGAGACTCTTCGGAGAGAGTGCCCTGAGCGATATCCATGGCTGATAGCATATGATCCAAGCTCTCGGCAAAAAGTTCTTGGAGTTGCAATCGTGGATTTGAAGCCTGAGGCAGCTCCACCTTGTTGCTATGTGAGGCAGATTGCTGTGTGCAAAGATGGCCAGGGTCGTGGAATAGTTAAAGCTTTGGTGAAGGCCATCCTCGACCACTGCTCCAGCAGAGGGATTTTCGAGTTCTCGGCCGTGACCAGGCAGATCAACGTCTCAAGTCTGTGTTTTATGGAGAAATTGGGTTTCCAAAAGTGTGAGTCCAAAGAGCCAGGCTATGGCGAGGAGTACATCGGACTCAAAGCGAGAATTGAGCCTGGGTCCTCAATCTCAAGCCCTAGTGCAATCGGCCCCACAGTGGAGCAGAAGCACAGAGCATGCTCAAAGTCTGCAAATGTGCCAGAACGCACCAAGGACAAGGACAACTTAAAGCTGGAATTGATGGCTTTTTTGTGGAATGCAGAGGGCAGTTACGTATCTGCCAAGAACTTGCTAGTGGTAGCTTTCCTCGAAGCCTATGCTGCTTTCTCGGAGGACGAGCTTGGTTTGCAGGTATCAAAGCGAAAATGGTTGGAGGAGACCGCTGCAAATGAGATGAACATCAAAGAGAAGGATCCCAATCGATATCAATGGCTGATTGCTTCAAGAGCTGATGAGTTGGTTGGCCTCATGGTCCTTGACATCGGATGTGATGGTATCCACCACGCCTGCCCGACTGATGCGACCATCCGACAGCTAGCAATCCTCCCAAAATTCCAACGGCAACGTTTGGGACTCGCACAGGAGTTTGGCCTACAAGTTCTGCGGCACTATCCTAGCATTTGTAGACTGAAAGCCTCTACTCGTTGCCAGAATCAAGCAGCCCAGTATTTGTTGAAGAAATTTGGTTTTCATTTGCTTCCCGAAGACAACCCAGAATTTCCTGCCAGGCACTATTTGACGTATGTTCGTGACTTGACTGTTCCAGCACAGCCCCAATCGCGCAAGTCAATGCACAACAGAAGTTCAGCGAGCGACTGCTGGAAAAGAATGCAGCACAGTGCCAAGCAGATGATTTCAACATAGTTGTACAGATTTGAACACTCTGGAAAGACTTCAGGGCATGCTGTCCCCTTTGTCCTGTGGACATCCTGTGGACAGTTGGTCTTTGAAAAAAATGGTGCCTGAGACATGGACCCCGGGGGCCGTGGATTCCTCAAGGACATGATCTTTTTTCGGTTCAGCCACAGATATCCATCCAAATGATGGAAAGTCCGACTCAATCATTAGCCACCCAAATGTGGAGAACAACGCGAATAAACAATATCCCATACCATTTGGCGTGCATTTGAAGTATATGTCCAGGCACTATTTGACATGTGTTCGTGACTTGACTGTTCCAGCACAGCCCCAATCGCGCAAGTCAATGCACAACAGAAGTTCAGCGAGCGACTGCTGGAAAAGAATGCAGCACAGTGCCAAGCAGATGATTTCAACATAGTTGTACAGATTTGAACACTCTGGCAAGACTTCAGGGCATGCTGTCCCCTTTGTCCTGTGGACATCCTGTGGACAGTTGGTCTTTGAAAAAAATGGTGCCTGAGACATGGACCCCGGGGGCCGTGGATTCCTCAAGGACATGATCTTTTTTCGGTTCAGCCACAGATATCCATCCAAATGATGGAAAGTCCGACTCAATCATTAGCCACCCAAATGTGGAGAACAACGCGAATAAACAATATCCCATACCATTTGGTGTGCATTTGAAGTATATGTCACAATGTCAAAAAAAATACTGCATTCAGTTGAATTTTAGCTGTCTATGTTCTGTGGCTGCAGTCCCTTTTTAACCAGTAGCCATCTATAGAAAGGCATGTTGTTCCTTATTTCCGCCGTTTGGTCTGACCCTCCACTTTGCAACTAAACACATTCCTGGTTAGAAATGTATCTACCTATGCTTCTGAAGCATATTTCCCAGCTCGTTATAACTTATGATTTCAAACTACATTTTCTTGGTTAGATACATATTTAATCATGATTATATATATATATATAACTTAACTACAAATTTCTAGTTAGAAATCGTTTTATAGATGGATAAACATGGCATATATATATGCATATATGGCATTACTCCTCGATGTCCAGGTTCCATTGGGCTTGACGCTGGGGACCTGGACGTTGCAGTGGCAGCCATCCTACCTGGCGCCGCTGGGGCGTGCCACTCGGTGATGTTTTACGGAAAATGACAATGAGATGCTAGTGATGCTGTAATCGATTTGGTAAAATATGTTAATCCATGTTAATCCATGTTATTTAAACTACTGGAATCTATTGGAATCTGAATTGGAATTGGTTTTGTTGTTCTTCTAGGTTTTGTGTAGTGTTAATCCACTGGAATTGGGTGTTTGTTTCTTTTTCAGGTACCAAAACCATGAGTGAAGGAAACTTAGGAACTTCAATAGCTATACCATTTGGATCCATTTGGTAATGTGACAGTTTGCTATGGAAAACCACGGCTAAAATTCACGGTGAATCATTGAATCAAATGGGCCGTTTTCCTATGGCAGATCCTGGGTTTCACCATCAAAAATGGTGGTTGGACAAACTTTAACCAGTTTGAAATGTAGATAGAATGTGATAACCAACAGAATATAAATATCATGTTACTCGTAGATATCCATATATATATATATAAATACCCATTTAAAAAATATGTTGAACTGTCACAATTTGTTGGTTTAAGCCTCAAAATTGCAAGAAAATGCTAGGGTTGAAAGTTCATGTTCATTGTCTATCTTTATGTTCAGTCAAAGTCCGTAACATCATTGAAAACTTCATGTTCATTCTTGTTGGCAAAAAGTGTGATAATTCCAGCATCTGGCCATGGTATGTTGATGTATGTTGAAAACCTGTTGGATTTTTTCACGGGCAGAAGTGGTGGGAAGTGCTTGGTTTTCACCAGGTTGAATCACCAGAATCCATGATATCCATGATCGATCCAACAGTGACCCTGGGGACGTTGCTGAAATCTGCTCCTTGTGTCGTAGGTCTGATACCGCCACCAATCTGTTGAATCACCTCGTTAAATCCCATGATTTTCATTGGTTAAATTCAACAGAACATGTTGTTTTGACACCTTGAAAAAATAATGTAATTTGTTGTGGCAGAGGGCTGACACCCTCATGGTTACTTGCAATATATGTAGCCAAGTTTCCCAGAGAGACAAAGGCGTGTTTCATGATGGGATGCAATTACATGTAGTTCCAAATTGTAGGATATTGTTTGTTGGGGGGTGTCGCCAGGATTTCCGTCATCCAATATGTTTTTTTCATTATTTGAATGTACATCTCAGCCGACATATCAGTTGAAAGTCCTATAAACAAATCTGCTCTCCAACAGCGCTCCAAGCGAGGCCGGTTTTTTTCTCGGCCTCCATGGCCTTTGCAGCCTCCTGCGCTTCATGCGGTCATATAGTGAGGATGCCGATTGAGATCACCTTGTGGCGTGCAGAGTTCATGGACGTTTGTATTGCTTGGAAGGTTTCCTAACCTTTTGATCTCGCTCAGGAAATACTTGATAGTCAGTAATTTGCATTGTTTTTGGGAATCCATGGTGCTTGGATTGGCCTATGGTTCAGCAGAATGCACGTCATGTGGACCCTGTTCCAGCACCTGTGCAAAGATTACACAGAACGCAAAACAGTTGGTAGTGGCCGCTGGTTTTTGAAGGTGGCTGGTTCCGCTGGTTTTCCCTGTTAGACCTGGTCATGCAACGAGTTTGTGAACGGGAAAGCTGGCCCTTGCTGAAATTTACAGAGCAAGAGCGACATGGTTTAAATATGTTTAAATTAATCAAAATGCTGGCATGGCTGGAGGGATATTTGGATTTCCATTGGCCAGTGGAAAGCTTCAAACCATGTATGCCATCAGGGATTGTTTATTATGTTGTTTGTTCATGTGTGTGTATTATTTCAACCACATCACGTCCTTTTCTGAAGGTGATTGTTTGTCACACCCCATTCATACCCAGAGTTGCGGCATTGTAGGTGCTTAGCCGAATGTCAGGTGTATCTACTATGACTCAAGTACAGCATCTCCGAAATCCTGTGAAGTATTCCTTTCCTTTCTAGCACAAGAATCATGCCTGCTACTTGGCTTTGTAGTCCCAATGCACCGTAAAATCATCCAGGCGGTTACCTCGCTGCAAGATCTGAATGGTTCCATGTTTCGGGGCCTTGGGATGATCCAAATGTCGCTGATTTGGACAAAGTTTCCATGGTCCAGCGGCGGTCCTCTTTCTGGCGGTGCCTTCATGAAGCTTCGACGCTGATGCCTCATATATGTCATATATGTCATGTATGTCATACGTGTCTTATGTATCTTATGTATCTTATGTATCTTATGTTGAGATTAACCACATGTCTCATCCGGTGATTGTTTTTTCTTTTTTTGGATACCATGGAGGATGACAGACTGCCCAGGAAGCTTTCAAGCGATGCCAGTCAGACAGTAGCGAAAGAAGGGAAGAAGGGCCTACAATGTGGGATGCCATAGTTAACGAAGTCGGTTTATATTTGGGTTTATGGTAGTTATAATGTGTTACAGGGGGCGCTGTTCTCGAAAAATAGCAAGTTTCCCTTTTTTAGTTTGTGAAGCCAAAGGTTGGGTTCCGCAAGACATACTTAGACTAAAACACATAGATGGCACACAATACTCACTGACTGATGGGGGTTTAGCCATCTAGCCAAAGCGTTTTCTTGTATCAGACCAAACAATTTCAGGTCAGGAGCAGACGGCGCAACTCAAAAATCGATGCCATCTACTCTCACTGTGGAGTATCACTATAGTTAGATGGGATGGTATACGAACTTATACCTCGGGGGCCGCCCATGAAGGGTGTATAAATCACGTGGAATCAAGGATTCGTCATTTGGGGATACCTTGTGGGATATTTCCCAAATTCCAAGCTGGTTGAAGAATGTACCGTTTGTTCATATTATTGGAGCACTTGCGATTACTGGACATTTTTACAGGTATGGTTGAACCCCCCAACCAGCAATTGTTTGCATTTGACAATTCAGGTGCTTGGGGCTTTATTTCATGTTTGTAGTGAGACATTTCATTGACGACTGAAAGAGTGAATCGGCCACAGTGGTAGAGTCTAGCCCATTGATGAGTTTCTATACACAGATTTCATTTTTCCAAGCAGATTTGGAGATGAAGCAGGACTTGAACATATCTGGTGGAAGCTGCTATGGTCACAAGGAGCGAAGGGAGGCAGCCTGTCAGAGAATCCCATCCCTGGCGAAAAAATAAATACTCACAAACATCCACAAACAGATTGTGCATAGATCCAATACATTCCAATAACAAATCAGGGTTTGTTCGGGTGGCATTGCATGTAATATTGGCTGGAAGGGTTTTAAAATTAATGGTGTAGCTGTATGTGGCTCAGAAAGTGAGCCCTCATTTATGCATTCAATGTTCCAAGTTGTAAGTGGATAGACTCTTGAAAGTAAGAACACCCGAACAAGGCCTGAAACTATTGATCACAGATTTAAAGGTTTTAGTGTTTTTGTTGGGTGAACACAATGACAAGTGGCGTCCATTTGGACACGCCCCAGCCGTTAGACCTTGGTTGTCTCTGTGAAAGCCTGCCAGCCAACAATTGAAATGTTCCACGATTGGAACTTGGCTCCAGCAATCTCTCATGGTACCCGTTGGTATTTCAACGTAATAACAAAAAACACAACATGTTTACTGTAATAGGTGAATCATCAATTGCATAATGGCCCATGTTCATCAAGTTTCCGAAGTTAACTAATTTACCAGAGGTTGATGAATACATGATTGTTCCTCAGTCAATGTTATCACAACATTTTGAACATGTTGATTTTCTTAGAAGTGCTGTCTACCATGGTTTCAGGATTGTCAATGTCATGACAATGAAGCGTCATTTCATACTCTGATAGTCTCTTATATTACATTGCTTTCAAGAAACTTGGCGAATTCAGCACAGTAGGCTGACTAAGCGGACGTAAGTTTCAGAGGACTTGTCACTGAGTTTTCCTCGTAGATTCCCATTTCACACATGCTAAGAACAGAGTAGACATGTTCATTTTTTCTAAACGATGTCAGAGTTTTCGATCCCACCCACACCATCCCACCTTGAATTTTGCGTTGCATCTCGTGTCCCACAACCAACATGGAGCCGCTGTTGCCAGTGGAGCGTGATGTTGTGCGCCAGGCACAACCTGGGCTCCTGGGCTCCTGAATGACATGTTTGTTGATTTACAATCCCATCCAACTAGACTTATGAGATATTATGATATATTATAGCGCTAAAGTCTATTTACAACTGAATTTTGCACCAACTTAGCTAACCAACTGGGGCTCCGTTTCTGAACCTTTGATAACCTTTGATCATCCCAGGCCGCCTTAAACCCAAAGGTGTGTCCCATGGTGATGAATGGGGGTATCCGGTATCGCATGGTATCGCCATTTCCAGACACACCGATTGCCGATTTGAGGAATTTACGTGGAATTCATATGAGTAACCGACAAAATTATTGTAATAGTATAATACTAATTTAGTCTTTGCTTCGCCTTGGCCTTTCCGAGGTTGCACAACACCTTCATGACCGATAGTGGACGACCCTATACCGATACCCCATTTCTGATACCTCCGGGAATACTGAAATCCTCACAACCGATAGGGGGCGACCCTAATTTGTGCATGACATTAAATTTAACATATGATTTTGTCCGCTATTCATACAATTATCGAGAATGCATTTATAATAATTATATATTATATTATATTTAATTGTATAATTATATATTGATTTCAGATATTAATAATAGTGATAGTACTGTATATATATATATACATATGTTTTTTGTTCATTGCCTCCCTAGCAATCCAAGCACCGGATTTTTGTTGCCGGGACCGCTTAGCAAAGCGCGAGAGGTGAGTAGCAATGAGAAGTTCCGCAGTCGGCAGCGCGGCTCCTTCATGGCAGTCATGGATCCTTGGAACCCGCCCATGCGAATCAAGACACCGGTGGCCCGGCTGATCACCGTGGTGTGTTCCTTTGCAAAAAAAACGTTTGTAAACATTGAATGATGGTGGAAAATACCAGATGATGGTTATTGAAATGATGGTTATAGCATGTGTTTTTTGGTTCATATACCAACCAGTGTCATGGGAATTCCACCAACAGATTCGAACCCATTTGATTTTGCATTCTGGAACATGTGCCTTCGCTTCAGATTCAGGAGAAGAGCAGCGCCAATCTGTCTTGGTTTGATTTGTTTCTTGGATATGAGTATTGAGCATGTGCCCGGGTTGGGCATGGGGGCTGGGCTTTATGTGGCTGGAACACTTTGATGCCGTCAACCAGAACACAGAAGTGGCATCAAGTTTGGACGTCAGGCATTTTTTCGGAGGTTTGATGTTTGATGGAAACGATTGTAGTAACCTCTGGATGTGTTCTTGTTGAATGATTTGTTTAGCTTCCACAATATGTTGATATTGCCAATGTGATTCTTCAATATCACCAAACCTCCGGATGTCCGTGTTTGGTTTGGTCCAGGAAGTTATGGTTGTCGGCGCTTTCTGCAGCAATACCTCTCTTCTTGCAACTTGGCGAACGATTTGCCAAGCAACTTGGGTAGGCCAACATTGGTGAACATCCCAATCGGATTTTCTAGTTGTGTATGTGTGTGTGTACTTTTTGGTGGCATCCGTATACTGGTAACCATCATTTCTTGCAAACAAGCGGCCGGTTGGTATAATAGTTGCGCATGATTGCCAGGTAGGGCACCCATAAACCAGCAGATTTGGTCATTGTTAATATACTAGTTGTATCTATTTGATTTAATTTGTCTACAATTATTTGAAAAATACATATAAAAATAGTCCTTTACATATTTGATGGGCTATAATTTATTTTCATGTCGATAGCTATTGTAGAGTTTTAATAATGGTTCATCAATAAAGCAACTAATGTAGGCATTGTTAAGTACAATTGAGACTGTCTATAATTCTAACTGAAACAGGCTATAATGCGAGTAATTTGGTCATTGTTTTTGCCACTCTCAGATTTTCATCAAACTATTGTCCTATGAAATCACCATTAAATCACCATTAAACCACCATTAAACCACCATTAAACCACCATAAAATCTCATCATAAGCCTTACCGCTTCGCCATGAATGGCACAGGTTGAGCTACTCGTCATGTGTCTCCTACGCTCATCTCATCGTCTCTGGTGCAGCGGCCTATCCCATCCGTGCGGCGTGGAGACCTGGGACCCCTGGGGATACCTGGTTGTGAGAAGCTCGGGGATGTCATGCGAACGGTATACATTACATGGGACATATGATGGGACAACATGATTTTTAATGATGGAACCTGTTGGGTGAATTATAGAAACTATATCTACCGCACCAAACTCTAGAGTATGCTGTTGAAGTTTTATGATGGCGTTTGTTTATTGAATTCATATCGTGTCCATGCTAAGCTAGAAAGGCCAACGCCAGCCATGATGTCTCGATTCAGGTGGTCATCATGTCCATGCACCTCTTTAGTTCCGGGCTCACAGGCTGGATTGCCCAAAGGAAGGCAAGAGGTGGGGCCCCCAAACTATCGCTAAGACTGAGGTTTATGGATGTTTATGGAAATTATAAGTATATATATATATATACATATTATAATATAATTTGATTTATTATAATATAACATATGTATACAAATATATAAATGCACTCAGTGGGATGTGCAATTACACCACCCAACATCACTGGGGGGCCCACCTTTGGTCATGTCCTACAGCTCATGATTTCTTTGCCAAGAATATGCTCCAGAGGTCCTTATATTAACTTAGATCTCACGATATTTCCCAATTTCGTAGGGGGACACTTTTACACCAACTTGGTTGGAAACTGGTGGTTCAAAGCCCCGGTACAGCAAGCCGTGAAACAAGACACAGGCCATGGCGGCCATGGCGTCAGGTTTACGTGACCTGGACGATTTGTTGCCCCCGGATCAGCAAATCCAAGATGATTGCCATGATCAGCCATGTGTACCAATCCAATATCCTTACAGAGGTGCATGTCATCTGATATGTCTATGATTCTATGATATAAATTCAGTTTTCCATTGGTTATTCACGGGGACTCACTGGTATTTCCATTGGTTTCTCCATAGGTTGCTATGGTTTGGGTGGTTTTGGCCCATCTAGATCCACTTAGTTCAGTGATTTGTGTCTTTCAAGTCGTGGCCAGGGCTGATCTTACCTCTTCGCAGTCCGGAGACGCAGGGAATGCAGTTCTTTTCTAATACCAAGTTATAGCAGGGAATGGAAGCTAAGGGGGCTATAACATGGGGTAAAGTATTGTAAAGCTCTCTGACATGTGACATGAATGAGGCTCAAACAGTATTCACATCCACCTGTGATTCAAGTTACCCATGCTTTTGATGGATCCGCTCACTATTCGTTTCTCAATGATTTCTGCAGTGTGTCCGATGGGTTCTAATCCCATCTGAATTATTCCTCAATTATTCTCAATAATTAACACCTGTTAAGATCACGATTTTCCCCATTGATATATATATATATATTTATTTATTTATTTATCTTGTATATATATATATATATATATATTTATTTGATCCTCAAGACCCCAGGGCGCCTCGGTTGTTGTATCTCCGGCACGCGGAAGGTACATGTCCTATGATCATCCCATCAGCGGACATTTCGGTGACAATCTTCTACCAGAAGATTGTGGCTTGACAAACGCTGTTTTAGCATATATCAATAATAATTATGATACTGTATATATTATATATATATATAGAATCTTAGAATCAGAGAATCGTTTGCAAACATGTTGTCTCGTTGGGCATGTTTCTCTATCATGTTTTACCCATGCAATTTGGATGAAACAATGCACCCTTTTGGTAATCACACATGCATGGCTTGCTGGAGATTTCTCCATTTAGTAGTTTGACAATTTCTCATTTAAATGCAATTTGTTCAAGAGGATTTCCCGGCTAGCCATGTTTGATTACCAGGGTAGCGAAAGAAAACAACACGAAACCTGGTTGTTCAGACGGAGATGGATCCATACCTGCTCTACCATACATTTACATGTGGGGAGCATTAACCCCTATGTACCTTCTAATTCTTGGTGTCTACCTGGGGTACACAGTGGTAGACATGCCGCTGGAGGTCACAGATATCGTGGCTGCAGCTGAAGAAGAGGGTCTCATTTCTCCGGAGGCAGTTGGAGTTGGACATTGGAGATTTGGGGATCCATAGCTATTTGGTACTTGGTGATACCAAATACATCCAAATACATCCAAATACCATCGGTCATCACTACACAATTCACCGGAATTCGCGGAGTGATAAGTTTAACATGGCCATCTAGAATCTAGTAACTTAGTAGATATTCTAGTTTGATATATGTTGATATATGTTGTTTTTACAGTAAATGCATGTCCGATGGATTCAGAAAGGGCTTGTTGGCTAGGAAGAATGAGCCCAACGGAAAGCCTCGGGGAGATGATACTGGTCTTGCATTATACCCCAGTTATATAGGGCTTAAATGTTACCTGGGCTATATATAGTTTATATATGGGTTGTATATAGAGCTCGCATATATATATAATTATACATATATATATATAAATAATTATACATATATATATTTACATATATGATAGTTAAGATTCATTTGATGACTCGATGACCAGATCACATGTCGTATCCTCAAAGGATTGGTGGCAATTTGTTGACCGCCTTCCAGATGGTGGCAGCCACAGTGATGCTGGCGCTGCCATTCAATACGTTGCTGATGAGTTTGGTCTTCTACTTGGTGGGTAAGTGGCCTGGCGAAGGGCGCGGTCCTTTAAGGTGTGTGTTCCATGCCGAGGTCTCATCAATGGGATTCAATGGGGGTTCTGCTCTTGTGCGATGAGTTGATCATGCTGTTTGATAGGAAGAACACATGTCAGTTTCGGGTGTTAGGGTAGATTAGGGTAGTGTCCTGGAAACAAACCAAAGCCACAATAGGTTGTTCTTTGTATTTTGCTTAGCCCTTTTGACTTCCAGCTTCATTTGCCCCATTGTTTTTTTTCCCTTTTGCGACCCTGCCTCCAGAAAATAATGATCCAACCGCAAAGAAGCTGACCCATTGGTTACTGCTTTGCTGGATCTGTTCTTTCAAACTGGACATTGTCGCTGTGAACATCTGGGTGTTGCACTCTCGACCCAAGGCAACAAATGACCGTGGTGGTGTCCTATTTGCCCTACCCAGTGGTGGCAGGTTTCCTAGGCTCCATAGGCGGGTTAGCCAAGGGGGGCCAGCGGTGTATCGGAAGGAACATCCTTAGGTTTACCCTCTGACAGTGTGCTCTGAAACATCACCATGTTAGATAGACAATATACATATATATATATATATATATATTGTAAATGCGCAATAAACTATCTCATTCAAACGAACCATCTAAACATCCATCTAATTAATGTGGTAAACCCAACAATAAGCCACCACCCTAATCACCGTAAATGGGTTTGATGAACCATCCCAAATAGTAGGTGTATTATTAGGTTTCCCACGTTAAACCATATAGCCAAAAAATAATTTCGCTCCCCTCTGACCCCGATCGTTGTGTCAGGTCTGGCCATTTTCTTGGGATCCTTCGCAGTGCTGGAAGAAGGACCGGAACGATTGAATGGTTGCCACGGTAGATAGTCCACGACGTCCACGAGATGATGTAAAGATATGTGAGGTTAAGATATGTTTTTTCAATAAATTTCAATATAGATATATGATGTAGATAGGGAGATATGTTATATCCGGGATACTTATATAGTAACAGTTGGGCATTCTACTTTGCCATCACTCGTGCTGGGAAGTCTCCGTGGCCTAGTCATGGAGGTTTAGTTACTAGTCAGTTCGCAGGGAAAATCATCAAACTAAATATGGGGAAATATGGAATTGTGATGGTTTAATTGTGAGAAAATATGGTTTAATTCTGGGAAAATATGGAAAATGGAGTTTTTTGAACAATGGAAGTACTTATCACAAGAAAAATAACACAAAAAGGCGGTATAAAGTAATGTGACAATTCTCAAAGTAGATAGTGGATGATCGTGGATTGTCCAGCAACCATGGAGCGACAACTAGTGACACCAGAGGCTACTTCTTGATGATCACCGTGGGCTTGTATGGCAGGACATCACAATCTTCAGCTACTTGTCATCCAGTGAGGGTATATATTCAAGATCGTATAACAAAAGATCATACAGGGCACACACAGTAGCTGTCCGTCCAGTGTTTAAAATCTCTATTGTTCAATATCTGTCATATATATATACATACATAATAGATATTTGTGTTTATTCATGTATTTGACTGTTTTTGTCAACGTCAATAGTCTATCTATCCATTTATCTAACCATGTCTATCCCGTGTTTACCGTGTTTTCCTTAAGGGTCATCCTTGAGAGACTCCGCAGGTCTGCAAGGCTTTGGCGGCATCCTGAAGGCCAGATGGGAATGTGGACCATTCATATGGCTAAGTTGACTTTTTGCTAACTACCGTTTATGTGGGAAAGAACTATAGTTACTATAGTTAATGGGTGTTATAAATTATAAACCAACTTGGCTAACTATGGGCCCTCACAATGTATACGTTTGTCTAACCAAACCGCTGCTTCGTCATTATTATTGTTCCTATTAAACTATTCAGATGGAATTGCGTACTGTTTTCTGACAGATCACCCATATATTTATATGATATATATATATATACACAGTATATATATATATTATAGTATAGTATACCGGTGGATTGGTTTAAGGTACATTTTCAGGAAACCCCTTACCTTTCATTGGGAAAACCATGCTTTCGACGCTTTTCCCAGCAATCCAAAATAAAAATGAGGTATTTCCAACAGTATCTTGGCTAATCAGAAACCATCCCCAATAGAGTTTGGCAAAGCGCAGCTTTCCCAGGCTGCCAACGACCGGCCGTACGAATTGATGAGTGCGGCAGGCACCGGGTTCGTGATGCCGAGAGCTGGATGAAGCCAATGAAGCCAATGATTAACTGATGATTAAGTGGTTGGTGGTTTGGAACATGGCTTTTAATATTTTTTTCCATTTCATATATGGGATATTATGGGATATTATGGGATATATATATATATATATGGGATGTCATCCTTCCCATTGGCTAATATTGTTCAGAGGGGTTGAAGCCACCAACCAGAAAGTAAACGTGAATAATTTCCACGAGTCCAGTTATCAAAGAGGGATGCCATTTCAAATCATTTGCCCAGCGGTAACCAACATGAAAAGTCACCAAGGCACTAACGGGTTGGGGTGGAGACCTCTGTAGGCATCCCAAGAATGAAACTGATTCGATCGGAACATCCTCACAAGATGCGATTTGTTTGCACCCATGTTTTTCTGGAACATATCACAACCGTTCACAACTGTTCAATACAAAGAGAACGAAGTTGTGCAAAAAACATCAAGGGCTCCATGGGATTCATGGCGATTCATGGTCAGGTATGGCGATTGGCTCCATCATGCTGAAATATGTGGGCTTACCTGCGCGTGCCACGCGGCCGGTTTCAGCCACCATGCTTTAGCATACTTTAGTTCAAACAGAGCAAAGGTCTTTGGCCACAAGGTGGTATCCTAAGCAAATCAACATATGATAGGGACACAGGGACACAGGGGTCCACGCACATGATCACTGTCGTTCATTCGTTTTGTGATGTTATTTCCGAACATGCATCAATTTGTCCACACCAATTGTGATGATAAGGTTGATGATATATACAATTGTGATGATTACCTTGTGCCATTTTCATGTCAAGGATTGATGACTTCATTTCTTAATAATGAGAATATGATGATGGTGGTGTTTCCCTGTCTCGTGACTACATATATTGAGATCGGTGATGAGGCTGATGGTGATGTCAAGGTGGTCATGTGGCCGTCAAAATGATACAAAATCACAGACTTGTGGGGCGGAATATCTAACTCGAAGACCCCAAAAAAATAGGGTTACCCCCTGGTAATTTAACGTAGCTATTGAAAATGGTCATAGAAATAGTGAGGTTTCCCATTAAAAATGGTGATTTTCCATAGTTTTTTGTATGTTTACCAGAGGGTAAAACATGTTAAAAGCCATAGATTTTCCCCGAGATTTTCCCAACGGATTCACCCAGGTCCTGGCCGTCACTCCGACGCTGGTGACCCTTGCGCCGCTGCCCAGTTCGCACGGCGTTTTCTGACGGCGTTTTTCGCAGCGCCCGTGCTGGAAAATGATGAGATCAACGATGATAAGATATGATAAGCCAAAATTGAAATCCATATTGAAATTTAGAGCTACCCAGTTTTTCAGATGCAAACAGATTATGCATATCCAACTTTTGGGATTTCCGATACGCTTCACCGCTGTAAAGAACACGTGGGTTGACCAGCTTCGCTTTTCGCAGAGGTCCTGTTCTGGACGGTTGTCATGATGTATGGAGCATCCTTGGAAGAATGGCGGGAGGATTGCATCGCAGCTGCCAATTGCCACACTTGCGAAGCACATTGACGATGGATAGCTTTGGTTTTAGTAGGAACACTGAGACACATGGGTTGCAGCACACATGCTGAAGTATCAGTCAGTGTATGTAAGGGTGTACTTGGCCATGCTGCTGCGAGTTCGTGATTATTTTGCCTGCTGCTGCAGGTTGATGCCGGATGATCCTGACATGTCAGAAGTTTAAACAAAAATTGTGTGGTCGTTGGGGGCTGGGTTGAAAAATCTTGGTTCCCAACCTGTTGCCAACTGGAAATCTGGTTCCACGGTGTTCCACGACTGGTTGTCCCTGCACTGCTTTGAAGGCGGGCTGGCTTTTTCCAATGGCGGACTTTGAACCTTTCTGGTCACTCTGGTCGGCGCGGAGCCTCAGGACTATATGGGGGCGACGCAATGGTAGAGGTGGGTTCCCCAATTACATCAGCTACAGGCCCGAATCCCCCAATTGTTGGTGGTTTACATGGCCTAAAGCTCTTGGTGATTCTCCATTTATGGTTTGTGATCAAATCCAATGTTTCCATTAGGTTGCCCAGAAAGATGTGTTTGGGCTGAAGTGCTTTTGGTTCACCGTGCTTCATCCAGCCGGCTGCTCAGCCACGGCAACTAAGGAGCAAAGAATTTCCCGCGTGGCCTGGACACCGTGTGGGATGAGGTGGTGAGATAGGTTACCCTGTAGGGAATGTTCCCAAGATCGACAAATAGTAAGGGTCCTTACAGAGATTAGACACTCATGCATAGTAAGCCCCAAGAAGATAGAAAAGTATTTTATCAAGACTTTATCGGGATTTTACTTTTCCATCTTTTTGGGGGCTGCTATATACTGGTAGGGGTTTTAAGCATCAAACCTGCAATCAAGCCTGTAAAAGAGGGAGCTCGATTCCGATAAAATGTCCAATCGCAACAGAATGATCTCACAGATTCCAAACCGATATGAAAAGACCTTATCATCAACCAAAAAACAACAATCAATCATGAATCATGACCGGAAAAAAGAACCATATCATCATCATCATCATCATCATCATCATCAGTTCTAAAAACAGACGTATTTAAGAAACCAATATCGAATCATCAATCCAACTCTCGACGTCCAGTGTTTTTCTGCAGGAGATTGCTACCGCCACGGCTCGCCACCTTCCTTGGCTCCCCATCTCAATCATCGGGTTGTGGGCTGTGGGGCGATTGGGCGATTGAGATTGAGATCCTTTGGTCTAACATAGCCATGGTAATTTCTCATTGCAACCGTTGAATTACGGGGGGGGGGGTCATGTTTTCGTACCTGAGCCACATGCCCTCCTTTCTCACATGATTTAGAGCCCTATAACATAACAGAACTGTCTCAGTGGAGCACTTCAAACCTAGCGGAGGCCACCAATACCCAACAACATCACTTCTAATTTACTATAGCAAAGCAGCCTTGCTGCATGTCTTCAGAATCTTGCTAGGATGTACTGCAACTTGAACTACAGTCACTCTTTTTTTATTCATAAAACGTCATCCAATCAATCCAATCCACAGGTTACGGGTTCCACAGCTCGGCTGTTGCATAGTTTTGCTTTAGTTGGCCCCGTGTCGACTTAATGATTTACCATGATTGACCTATTAAACAGAGTGAATCTCCATAGAAAATTATATATCGGGGGTAATGTCCCAAAGACATGGTCTCGTCTCATAAGATCCATGAAGATCCCAGATAGTCAGGTGGTTTTCTGGACCATGACACCACTCACGACCCTTAAGTTCTCCCAGGGGGATCCCTTGATGTCTCGCCATAAGTTTTGTTTATTCAGAGGCTGATCAACCCTGACCAGGCAAGAGATCTATCCAAGATATAGTTTCACCTTCAGGTGTTTATTTTCTGTGACAGGCGTGAGCATATGGTAGCATTTGATTTATCCCAAATATTTATATCTAAACATGGCAACAGACAATCGTTATTTCCAATGACTCAGTCAACATTGATTAGTTATGATAAGGATTTGCTCCGATTCACGCCCATGTGATAGTTGTATTGTCAAAGCTGTTTACCTTCCTGCTTATCTCCTGTCATGCGTAGCAACCTAACATTTGACGTATGTACTTAGTTATTACTTCAATATCTGACCTATTGGCCTATGGCCCACAATACTTCTGTAAGACATGTTCTTTCTCAATTGAGGACACCAAAACTCCGCCAAAGTGAATTCCACAATGGTCATCAATAGTCTATTTCCTATGGCAAAACCAGTGGTTGCTGGCCCGTTCCCATTGTTTGTACCTACGAGCCTTTTCGGTTTGTCCCTAGATGGTTAACCTCTCCCATTTTTATGGTCGGCGCTCCTTTCCCAGGTCTGGGTTTTGTGCTGGTCTTGTCCCTCACGTTGCGAATTGCAGGGATTGAGGTGAAGCCCCATGGGTTGAAGTTTACCATGTTTCAGTGGAGCTATGGTGGCTGCTCTCTGATGGGGCCCCGGGTGGAAGCTATGTCAGCTATGTCCATCCCGCAAAAGGCACTTGACACAAAAATATCCCAGAACGTCAATTTACTTTCTAGCAAATGCAATTGGAAAAACAAGAAAAAGGGTGCATATTACTGCCTGTTGCATAAATGAAAGAATCTAGGACACCAGTGAGACAACTGGAGTTCCAAAGTGCGGCGCTCATATCCATACTGTTTGTTTTGATAGATTGTTGACAACTTCAACATACTATACTCAACGAGTTAATGGTTTGCATGTTAGACACATGTAGAAGTTGCAAGCAAACATAGTAATTAAATGTATACTTGCTCAGGTATACACGTACAAACACAGTAGTGTCATTGTGCATCTATAGATATGTAGAAGATACCAGTGTATCTTCATATTTGTGAATTTTCAAATACGGATCATAGATCATATAAGTAATATAAGATCATATAAGTAATATAATTATAAGTAATATCTAATAGTAATTAATATCCACTATTAACCATTCATCATCAACCACTATATTCACCAGATTCACCATAGATATAACGCCAGGGCTCCACCGGGTCAGCCATCAATGTGGACGACGAGGTGCGGAGTTGGAAGACGTGGGATGGTCGGTCCATTTTAAGATGTAACGAGTGGGGATACCAGTGGGGTAACATCGTTTGACATGATATCATTCGATATCATTTGATATCATGACTAACATGATTCAAGATGTCAGATCAAAAAAATGATCCAACCATTCAAATATATTCAAATCCATCCAACCATGGAAATTCAAGACGAGATTTTCATCTGAATTTCAATGTTAAAACAGACATCAGATTGGAGTTTACCAACAGACATGTGGACATGGGGATTTCAGCATTTTCAACATGAGGATGCTCCCATTCTGTCCTGAAACTTGGGGTCAATCAAACGTGGCTGGAAAATCATCTATAAATGTAGGTTTATAGCTGGGAATAATTCTTGGGTGCTTCTCAATTGCAACGTTAAAAAAAAATGCTGGAGGGTCTCTCTTTCCTGGAGAGTCTACCAACGTTTGGGACCCGAAAGTGAGCTCCCCCCTATGTTGGCTGGTCAGCCCTTATTGTTGTGGTTGTTGGTGGTTAAGATTCTCTCGAATATATACCAATGGAATCATCATCCCTTAATTGTCTCTATCATTCCACTATTTATTACGTACAATATATATATATATATACATATATATATATATATACATATATATATATACATATATATATATACATATATATATATACAGACATCATGAAACATCCATAAACATCCATAAATATCCATAGATATCCATCCCCAAAGATCCCATACGCATCATTTCATCCGACGAAAACAGGTCAAGTGGACGGGTCTTGCCTCATTTGCCGCGGGCGCCTGCGGCACGGTGCGCCCGGGAATGTCCCGGGTTTCGGGTGTCCGGCCACGGCTTTGGTGATTTCAAACAGGAATGGTTCCAATTTCCAGTTTAATGAGGAAAAGAAGGGATGAAAACAAAAAAAAAACTCCATATCTAAAGACAAACCTAATGTGTTTTGGTGTTTTCTAGTGGAGTGTTTAGACATCGCATCTTTTGATGTTCCCCTTTCTGTGATCGCCAATTTTACTCATTCTTTACACCAAGGTCAGGATGGGATAGATCAGGAAACATTCAGGACACATCAGTTAAGGATGTTGATAGAAAAATGATGCGGCTTGAACAAATTCAAGTCAATATGTTTAACTTTCAATCATGCGCCATGCTGAAGGAAGGTTGCTTGTACAGAGGGCTGTGGGTGGCAACTACATGATTTCTACAATGAGAAAGAGTCAGCATCCCAACATAGTATGTTCTATTCATCGCATTCACCAATGTTTTGGGGATTGTTTCTTCACTGTATCACAGAAGTACATATCATGTGTACACATACATATATTATATTATATTATCAAATCATATCAGATGTATGACTACGTCTCCTTATACATTGATAAATGACATAACATGTCTAGAGGTCCTAGCACTTGTCAGCCCAGTCGCTTCAACTGCCTTGTCAACAACTGCATAGTTAGCCTCCGGTGTCATCCAACGTGGCTGATTGGGAAATCTTCGATTAAACAAATGGAGGTCTCAATAGGAAAATCGAAAATCATATATATATATATACATGTAGGACGTTCGATTGCCATGTTTCATCGGAGGGTAAAACCAATCAATATCATTCGACACAGAGAAGAGGTCATGCCATGTCAGCCACCATGACATTTCTTCCCGGCAGGTCATTGGCTCTCACTCACCTGGTTTGACCACCTTCAACGTAGCGACTTGGCGGGTGGTATGTGGGCATCGAATTCGGCGCGCCAAGTATCACAAATCACAGGATCGTGTAGGATGGTTACATGTGTGAATCATTGTGAGTGTGATTTTGTTTAGTGGTTTTGCCACAAAACATGTCAAATATGCCAAGAGCTTGCGACCATCAGGCCTGTGACAGACCCGACTCATCAGGTCTTTCAATATGTTTCACAGTGGTGGCTGGGAAGGAGACACTAACAGGTGAACTTTCCATGCATAGGCACCCAATGTCCAAGGATAAAACACACACACTACACTATGTGATCATGTCAAATAGAATCAAATAGATATCTATAAAGAAGTATTATGTAATTACACATCTACTATTTACGTGTGCTATCCTGTACCACCATGCGCACAATGTAAAATATGCACTATATATATATGTATATATAATTTTATATACATATGCAATTATTTACAAATATTACTAATAATATTACCGAGATACATATATATATATATATTATGTTTTATAAATGTAAATGCAGAGGATTGGAACATCAACGCTAGCTCACTAGCCACCCAGGAAGCTGGCACCACTACTGCGCAGGCAGCTGCAAGGAAACTCAGCTGTGCCGGCTGCGGAGACTGGAGAATTTGCCTGAGATGACTAGCTGTCCCTGGGTGTCCCTGATCTATTCTTGCGGATCCACGCACACACACACACACGCACACACACGGACGTTTCTGTTTTCAAAAACTCTGAGTTTCAGTGGTTTCAAAATGTTCAAACTGTGAAAAACATGTCCACGAAACACGTGGAATGAGCCAAGCAGCATATAGGCTTTCATCAAAGAATCTGGATTAGACACCCAACAAGCCAGGGGATGTGAGCAACCATGCCCTGATTCGAGAAGCGTCCATTGGGTGCAACGTGGTTTACTGTACCAGATAAAGATTGAAACAAGATTGAAACCACCAAGACGATAAGTACAACCTACTCAAATGCTGATAGAATCTGATAGATTACTTTTCTATATTTTCCTATTTTTTTTTTTGTGGTTGCTGAAGTTGAAACCACCAGTTTGGCAATTCCCCCCCGCCGCCACTGGTTTGGAATTGCCAAAAAATGGCGATGGTTCGAGGTGCTGACGGGTGTGCTTCAACTGCTGCTCTGGTTGAGTGGAGCGCCTTGAAAGCAGTGCAGAAAGTTGGCAGAAAGCCCCATCTATATCGGCTTGCAACAGCTCAGAAACCATATTATTTGAGTATATTTACATTTGTTGTTCCTGCAAGCGATAGACAGACACCTTTGCATTTCGGAGTCCAGAAGAGGTGTTCTTCCCTCTTTTGAAAAGACAGCATCAAAATCTACGAGTTGTCTTGGCAAGTATATATATATATATTACGTGCATGCGTTGTGGACACCAAGCTTTTGCTTGAAAAGAGACCTTTTTCCCCACCTGCCAGGTGAGGGTCTCTAGATATTTACAAAGGTTCAACTCCTTCTTCCTCCCCTCCTTCACCTTCATCACCTTCTCCTCCACCTCCTCCACCTCCTCCTACCAGTTCCGGATGCAGGGGAGGGCGCCTGGACCCGAACCGCATCGCGAGTTGAGGATGCCGTGGAGGGCGCCTGCACATAAACGCAGAGAGAAGGCCAGATACAATGTTAGAATAGATGCCAGATAGAGTGCCAGAACCTATGTCAGATAGAATGCCAGAATGAATGCCTGAAAAGATGTCAGATAGAATGCCAGAACATATATCAGATAGAATGCCAGAACATATATCAGATAGAATGCCAGAATGAATGCCTGAAAAGATGTCAGATAGAATGCCAGAACATATGTCAGATAGAATGCCAGAACATATATCAGATAGAATGCCAGGGCTTTTATCAGCCATATCAAATAATTCCTGAAAAGATGCCGGATAGAATGCCAGATCCTAGTAGAATGTCAGAATAGATGCCAGATAGAATGCCAGAACGGATGCCTGGAAAGATGCCAGATAGAATGCTAGAAAGAATGTCAGATAGAATGTCAATGTATATGCCATTAATATACTTCCAGATGGTATGTCAGAGACTATGTTAGAATAGTGTGTCGGATGTGAAGTGTCCGCTGAGTTCCCCGTGATGAACATGTTTCCTCGGCGTGGGAGCCCATCAAAGCGCAGCACAGGGTGGTTTCCGATTGTCGCACCACGGTTGAAAAATCACTGTTTCGTCACATGGCTTGAGAAATCGCCCATGTATAGTTATTTTCTCAGCTATAAACCTGCATGTTTAGAGGATGTTTCCATTGTAACCTCCATTTATCGAAGGATTTTTCCATTCAAACCTTCATTTATATATATATATATATATTATACATTATTTTCCGGTTATAATCTCCAAATTTCCGGACGATTTTCCCATTATAATCGGTAAAAAAAGGGGATTCTCCCAGCTAGAAACCTCCATGGATAGTTTGGGGATTTCCCAGGTAAAGCAAGCGTTCGGATCTTATGCCATCTCTTAAAGGATGACTGTAGAGATCTAGGTTTCCTAAAACGGGTGGGTAACCCAAAATGGATGGTTTATAATGGAAAAACTTACTAAAATGGATATGATTAAAAGCTTCATTATGTCTAGCCGTCTAGCCATGTTTGCCACGGAATCGGAGTCCACTTGTTGGCCCAACCTCCCACCATAGCTGACGAGAACTCGCCATGACCATGACAGGTTTTTGCTTTCTGGCATTCTGATGAACCTGGGTTTGGTGATGCTGCAGGAGCTTATTGCTGTGCTCACAGCTTAGAGCAGCGTTCAAAACCTCTGCTAGGTGAGGATTAATTATGGGAGATTCGTGGGGATTATCTTCCATGAACTGGGAATCCCATTCTTAGCCAACCAGTATAATTCAAGTCGCTTCGCGACGAGTACTGCCCCCCGTACCTAATAGGACAGAGAGGAAAGAAGCATGCCACAAGCCGACTGGGGTCAAACTTGGCCGTCCTTGGCCTAAGTTGGGCCGAACACGAGCCAACCTGGGCCGAGCTTGCGCCGAGCTCGGGCCAGCTTGAGCCCAACTGCTGGGGTCCAACGTGGCAGTTGGGCCCAAGACAGGCCTGGGCAAAGCGGCCTCCGACGAACCCCCATCAAAGCCAAAAAACGTTGGAAGTAGCGGTAAAAATTAAAATCTTCAGTGTATCGCATTGAGTCCGGGTTGGGCCCATCTTGGGCTCGGACTTGTCTGAAAGGGTCCCAACTTGGGCGCAAGTTGCGCATGTAGGATCCAATGTGAGCCCAAGTTGGAGCCAAACGGGAAGCCAAGTGGGTCCAAGTTGTGCCGAAGTTGGGGCCTTGTTGGCCAAAGGTGACATTTCAAGTGGACCCCATGTTGCGGCCATGTCGGATCGAAACGGAGAATTTGGACGATGTTGCCGACCTCGCCGGGGCGAAGATGGCCCCCAGCTGAAGCTGCATTAGTGGAACAGATCTGTTCGTATCCCTCGCTGCTAGACTACCATTCCTCAGCACCTGCAGTGCGGGCACACACACACACATAATCCCTTCCTCCTAATACTAAACCCCCCCCCCTAATACAAAACACGGCAGGTAGTTTTTAGTATTAGGGGGGTATTTATTATTAGGGAACCAAATCGAAGTCATGTTAATTAATTAATTAAATTTCCTTATATAACGCAATTAAAATATTGCCAAAAATGGCAGTTCGAAGCTTACCCCTAATACTAAATTAAAACCCTTAATACTAAAAACTATTTTTTCCGATCTCAAAATCAATTAAATTTCCTTATATAACGCAATTAAAATATTGCCAAAAATGGCAGTTCGAAGCTTACCCCTAATACTAAATTAAAACCCTTAATACTAAAAACTATTTTTTCCGATCTCAAAATCAATTAAATTTCCTTATATAACGCAATTAAAATATTGCCAAAAATGGCAGTTCGAAGCTTACCCCTAATACTAAATTAAAACCCTTAATACTAAAAACTATTTTTTCCGATCTCAAAATCAATTAAATTTCCTTATATAACGCAATTAAAATATTGCCAAAAATGGCAGTTCGAAGCTTACCCCTAATACTAAATTAAAACCCTTAATACTAAAAACTATTTTTTCCGATCTCAAAATCAATTAAATTTCCTTATATAACGCAATTAAAATATTGCCAAAAATGGCAGTTCGAAGCTTACCCCTAATACTAAATTAAAACCCTTAATACTAAAAACTATTTTTTCCGATCTCAAAATCAATTAAATTTCCTTATATAACGCAATTAAAATATTGCCAAAAATGGCAGTTCGAAGCTTACCCCTAATTGCTAGAGTAGCCAGGCAGCTTGGAGTGAGGGATTGGGACTAGGCCCCCCTAATACTAAACACCCCGGGGTGAACTAGTTTTTAGTATTAGGGGGAGAACCCACAAATGGTAGGTTGATTTTTAAATTGTTTTTTAAAGGGGATCAATTAAAAGTCAAATTGGCCAAACTGAAATTTTCGGAAATTGGAGATGGATGCCTGTTTTTAGTATTAGGGGGACGTTTAGTATTAGGAGGAAGGGATTAATATGTATATATAATTATATATATATACGTATATATATATTTATTTATTTATTTATTTAGTTATTTATTTATTTATTTATATTATATTATATTATATTATATTATATTATATGTGTGTACATGTTTTTACTTTTCAATTTTTTTGATTCGTGCATTTATTTTTGAATTATTTATCTCATGGAAAAACATAGCTCGGGTCTTGAACACTGCTCAAATCCAGCTAGGTCAGCTATATAAGTGATTTGAATTTCTGCACGAAGGAGTGGATGTGGACTGCGCGACACAAGGTGGGCCGCGAAAATGATGGTGAGTGAATGCAAGGGATGTCATCAAAATGTGCAATGTTTAGTTTGGGAAATCATGCCAAATTGTTTAAACCTGATGTATTTCATTGTATTTTTTGACTTGGGAGTTATCATGTTGTTGGCACAGCAGATGGGAGTTGTTCCATGGGGTGTGGAAAATTTCACAACTGCACGAGAAAAAATTAGTGTAGAACAATGCCGTGGGCGTAAAGTACCCAGCCTCTGAAAATTGAAGGATTAAACCGAGACTGTCAAGCCTTAGAGTCACTTTAGAACCATAAAAATTGGGTCAACCGTGCAGGATTTTCATTTTTGGCTCATGTTTTTCAATTTATCAGCTGTGTTATATGTGCTTATCATTTTGATTCCACACTCCTCATCAGAGTCTTCCTGGATAGTTGGTTGGCCCCATTGGACAATCCATTCACCAAGAGAAAACATGCGTGAAGCCGTCCCATAACATGTGGATGGACAAAACTGAATAATGTCATTGTGATGATCAGTGGATTGGTTTCAGAGTAACAGGATCTGGGTAACAGGAAACCTTAGTTCATATTAAGGGTTTCTTGAGGTTTCCTATAATTTTTCCTCGAAATTTGAGAGATGGGAAGTGATGAGGTTGGCATTCTCGGTCTCTTGGTCATCTATGCTCAGGCACGGTGCCCAAAAATGCGGGCCACCAAAATATGGTGCCACCAATAAACAAATCCAATCCATTTTACAAGGATTTTTACTTTCGGAAAGGTATTTACTATTGGGGTTCTGGGGGGAAAGGATTAAGTACTAAGTCGTGTGGTAAGGAGGTTGAATCATTTGATTGGTAACATTCCCCATCAACACCACAGAAGGGGTACTTGACATTGGAGAGCTGGCTCATCTTGGGCATGTCTAGGTCAGATCTAAAGGGGTTGCCTGATAGCTCCCAAATGGATTGAGTAGCTAAACGGAAGCAATGCTAAATATGTTGTTTTTTTTTTAAAAGAGGTGAGAGCCCGGTATCATCCACAATTCCATGAAAGGTCGATTCAGTAGGGCTGAAAGCAATCAATTGTTGGTTGCACTCCGGCATTGTGGGACATAAAAATAGGTGCAAGTTGGGTCTCTTGGAGTTCCTGGTCATTTCCCAGATGTACATCCCCATCAACATCATCGACCTATCCGGCGAAAATGACCCGAAGGTCCATTTCTTGACCAAGAGACCCAAACAATTCATCCATGTATCCTATATAAATTATAACAATATGTAACATACATATATATATACATATATATATATATATGTACATAGACACATTTAGTGGATTGGTTTTCTTAGGAAAGTCTTCACCAGAAACCAGTTTGTTTACCGAGAAGAGATCGGTGTGACACCAGTGGATCCAACGATCCAACGTGCGTTCCTTGGCATCCACTGCAACTTGTGATAGGTGGCTGTTTCAAAAAGTTCGGATTAGACCAACCAAGATTGGGATATGCAAGTACCAATATGATATAGTCTGCCCAAAAAGGATCGAAAGTCGTGTTTGATGTTCGATGATATTTCCTTCATATTTGACTATCATTTCCCACGTTTTGTTATTTTTTGGTGGGTGTAGTCACCGCTGCAGGTGGCCAGTTCGATGATGTACGGCTTGCTGCCCAGTGTGCTGGTCGGTAAGCCCCAGCCACTAGCGTTACCCATTTTGAAAGGTACAAGTCTAGGTATTCATATATATATATATTGTACAGCATAAAACATATATTTATATAATTTTATATATGTATACTACACATGTATTTATAATTATATATACATAATTAAATAAATATATATATATATAATTAAATAAATATATATATATCTATTTATAATTATTTATTTAAAATTATATATTTAATTTATTTATAATATATAATGATAATCTATAATTATATAATATAATATAATATATATATAATTATATATAATTACATTTAATTATATAAATATATATATTCATAATTAAAAATATTTTTATTTAATTATACATAATCATTTTTAATTATATATAATTACATATACACGATTTGCTTATGACAGATGTGATGATTCATGTTTGTAGAAATCACTGCAGGTCGGAGTAGCGGTGGCGCTACTGACGGCGCAGGTGGGACACCTTGGCAGGACATATTTTTCGGTAATAAGGTAACCCAACGACAAACCATCCCCAATGACTTGCAAGAAATCCGACATTGGTGGTTTCTCAATTGGTTGGTGGTTTTAAACAACATATTTTCCGGTATGTTTTAATTTATTGACACAGTGTGTCTTCATGCTTGGGAAAGCAAGGATGCGTCCTTTCAACATGAGACAATCGAACCGTCAAAATCTTGGGTTTGATTTAGTTTTCTCATTCACCAAGAAGTGGTTGGTGGTTAAAAGATTTGTAACTGGCTTGTGGTTTCAAATATGTTCGTCAACCACAGTTGAGAAGACCAGTCCCAATGACAAATATGTTTCAGATGGTTTATGCAATGCCACCAGCCGGGAAATGAATCACCAAACTGCCTGATACGCATTATTTCTTTGGGGGTGTCTTGACAATGTGTTGTTCGTTAAATCCCCAATGATATCATAATATTCTTTGCCAAAGGGACATACCTAAAATATCATAATATATCCATGTCGACAAAGAAAACAGCAATTAAGAAGTGTCCCCCATGTTTTGTACCGTATTATATATTGGATCTTAAACTACCTAGTCAATGGATGTCAAACATTACCAACAAATGGGTATATGAGGACCTATAGGTTATATGTACTATAATTTGCATCACCAACATGTCCATCGAATATGGATATTTAGTTATCTGTAATCAAATGTATATCCACATGGCTAGTCACTATATGAATATTTAGTTAAAGAATATTTAATCAGTATATTCAAACCTGATATTAGGTACATGGCTATAGTCATATCCTTGTATTTAAACCAGTATCATAGTAATCAAACCATTCTCTAGATATTATAGTAATTAAAACATACTACTTCTAAATATCATGATCTAAATATCGTAGTAGTGAAACAAGAGTACTCAATCCTAGCCATTTTGGTCATCTCACAAAAATCGCCCGCTGCGCCGCAGGCTCAGTTGATGCGACTACACGTTTTGAAGCGGGATCCCAGTGGAAGGGATTGTGGGATCACTGTGGTGGACTCAAGTGATTTTATAGTGGTTTATTGGGTTTTTTATGATATTTTTATGGGATTGTTATGGAATTTTTATGTGATTTTAATGGAATTTTAATGGGTTTTTTATGGGATTTTTATGGTATGTTTATGGGATTTTTATATATTTTTATGGGACTTTTATGTGTTTTTATTTTTTTGTATTTTCATTGGATTTTTATGGTATTTTTGTATGGGATTTTTATGGTACGTTTATGGGATTTTTATGGTAATTTTATTGGATTTTTATGTGATTTTTATTGTTTTTTTTGGGGGATTTTTATGGGATTACGGTGGTTTCATGGGATTTTCTCTGAGTTGTTGGGCACAAGATGGCATATGTGGCTGCCTTCCTGAGATTTACTTCGTCATTTAGTCATGTTTACTCACACTTTGTCACGTTGAAGGAGTTGGTGACCAAGAATCTTGAGTAAATACCATAGATGTTTGCATATTCTTGGGGAAGGCTGTGTTATCAACGACCCTACTGCTATCCTTATGATGTTTTGTTAGCCGGATCAAAATTTGACAGGATGACCCTGAAAAGTCCAGGTGTCTGCTTTTCGTGGATTTTTTCTTCACATCATCCTAGTATACGTATGAGTTTAAATGTCGAATGATCCTGAATCACATAACTATTCTGAATAGCTACAGCTAAGTCATGTAGAAATGGGCCGATTTCCATAGCGTTTTCATTACCAGAGCGGATCATCATTCCTATATGATAGCTTATGAACCAGTCCCTGAAAATGCCCAGGTATCACGTGTCCCGACTCTCGGTCCGCACCAATCTGCAGCGCAGCCAGAGAGAGTCAGGGGAACCCAAACAGTTTGGAGATCGTCATGCCACCATGCAAAATCGGGGTTAATATGCAGGTTTCCTTAAATGGGGGTACCCCAAAATGGATGGTTTATAAGAAACTGACTGCAATGGATGATTTTGGGTACCCCAATTTTAGGAAACCTCCATATACCCGTCATTTTGTTGGATTCCCAATACTTCTGGGATGATGTTTTGAGCATGGGACATATATGATATATATATATATACATATACATATGTACATATAGACATGTATACATATATATATATATACATACATATATATATATACATATACATATATACATATATTCATGTATTCATATATTATCACATATTCATATATTCAAATATTCATATTTTCATATATTCATATATTCATATATTCATATATTTATATATTCATATATTCATATATTCATATCCACGACTGGTGGATGGTGTGTGTGTGAATGCTCTCAGTATTTTTGGAGCTCCTGCTAAAGCGTCAGTCTTGACAAAGTTTTTGGGAATGCCTAAATGCATCAAAAGGAATTTTACCATCTTTGATTCAAGCCACTACAGTCATGCCTCCACATCTAAGTAGTCAAACCCATACTCCAAAAAGGCTTTGAAAGTGATTCAACCTGAAATTGGCTCTGTTTGGGTTGCACGGATTCAATTTCAAGGATGTATAAGGACATGGTGCCGAAGTTCACCAGCCCTGCCACATGTGTCCCAGTTTCAGACTGGCTCAAACAGCTACAGAGACCTTCCGTTTGTATCTATAAACATGGGTAAAGGCATTCAAAGTATGGGGTAACATAAGTAACATTGCCATTTTTATAGGTACTTGGAGGGTCAAGATGGACGCGTTTTTAGAATAAGTACAAGAATCATGATTCAACGATGTCCTTAGCGTTTTTGTTGCCAACAGTCTAGAGCACCCGATTTTCCATGGAATTTATAAGGGTCCCCAATGATGGTACCTTCCCATAATCTTCCCATACTATTGGGGTTGCTTATGGGAGTAGTATGGGGGGTCCCATCGTCGGGTTGGATGGTTGGCCAATGGACAGGAGGAAGAACCATCGAAAGCAGTGCTGATTTGATGCCCTGTACTTGGATTGACATGGATTGAGATGGATGATTTAAGATATCCTCTGGTAATCAAACATGGTTTGCTGGAAAAAAACAATAATTAGGTTACAGTAGATGATTTTCCCAGCTATAAAGTGTCATTGAGTTTAGGGACTTTGCAGCTAGTCATGGGTAACCAATGTTATGTATCCCATTGCCATGAATATCCCATTCTTCCGGTGATTTTTTCTTGTTTGAGGCGCGCCTTGTTGAACCAGCATGGGAACTTCATTGAATGCCTGGGTTTGGAAGGCTTCCTCGCGGCGACCTGAGTGGAACTGGATGGATCAGCAGAGATCCAGTGACTCACATTTTTGTATAGCCCTTTTGTTGGTTTCTTCGGCCGAATTTTGCAATTTCAACTTTGCATAGGCATAGATTTCATAATGGCTCACGATTATAGTATATACGGGCAAAAGTTGATGGTGATATGCTTGAAATGTGGTCAAAAGATGTCTGAAATATGGATACCTAGACCCTCCGTTTGTAACCCGCATTTAAAAAATGTAAAACAATTCGAAATCATGTTGTGCAATGTATACCCATTCTTATGGGTATTTGGAGGTCTAGGCATGTCGAGCAAAAGATGATTTGGGAATGACAAATCATGCACATTCCCTTAAAAACAAGTGTCTTAAGATATCTTCGTTGCAGTGTGGCGATGTGCACTGTCAACATCAGAGACAGGTGTTGCAAAATGGAAATCGGGAGTCACAAATTTGGCATATCCTGGCTGTATCTCGGGGTTCCTTGCGTTGTTGTTTGATGTCGATTGAATCTCATTGGGAAAGGCACATTGGATCAAATTGGTGATTTCCAACGTCTTGCTTATGTGTTGCTTGGTAATACATGTGTATGTACACGTGTAATTGTGTACATAGCCAGTCCTACCTGGAAAATAAGGTTCACAATGCCAATGACTTTCCTTTTCTTCAGGTCCCTTCTTGTTCAATCGGTCCCGCTCTCAATATTTAGGTAAATCTTCCCAGCCAAGGCTGAAGGACCTATCATCAAGTTGTCCAACTATGCTTCTTGACCGCAAACTTGATGCCAAGGAAAAGAAGGCTAAAGATTTCTTGGCTCTTTCGGTAAATATGCTTGGTTACACATCTGACATGTATTCAAAGATGAAACGGATGATTTTGTGCATCCATGGTTAACAGTTTAGCTCAGTCGCCTAGACGCTGGGAATAGCCCTGAGCCAACTGCTTGGGGTTTGTTGTGGCAAGTATGGCTATGGATCAGGTTGGGTAGGTTAGAGGTTTTGTTCCCGCTACCATGTGTACATAATTTTATATTTAGATACCTATTCTACCTATCTATATATTCTATTGTTCGTAAAGGTGGATACCATACAACAAGTCGCGTTTACTAACTATTAAAAATAACAAAATTTGAGGAGTTTCATGATTTGGGTATGGGTCAAAATGGCTTGGAAAGCTTAAATTATGGCCATCCAATCATCGGCAACATTCCTTGACATGAAAGGGGGCTCCAGATTCAAATTGTCGCCATATTCTGATCTACCTATCTATATCTAAATATACAGAACCAGATAGTATACATATTATATGTTTATAATTTATATACATGATATGTATATATATATATGTAATTATATGTATATATATATCAGTAAATCGCTGGGGAATGAGCAGGATGTCTGCAAGAACTCTGAGAACAGAAACGAGACTTTTCGCCTGATGTTCAAATCCTTGGAAGCAATGCCACGTTGATCCCCTTTGTGGCAGGCATACCTGGATCTACCTGGACAATGTTGCAAACTTCTAGATCTTTGCTTCGGTTTTTATGAGGTCACATAGACCTTGAAAGATGGAAGTTGGATGAATTTGGATTGATCAGTGTTCCGCAATCCGGCATTGACAAGGTTAGACACTACGTCGAAAACAACAAGTGGCGCGCTGAGAATGTGCTGATTGAACCTGTGACACCCAGCTTATGATTTTGCAAACAAGAAAAATGCAGGATCAACTTTGATAGCCTATATATATATATATTTATACATACTTGTACTCTACATATATATATATATATGTGTGTATTATATAATATATATTTATAGACTTTGCGAAATCTACCCAGGGTTCCTCCCCCAGACTTGGAACCCTGACTTGTCACCACTGCAAACTCAGAGCTTACGATGGAAAGGCTCTGAAAACCTGAGTCGCAATGTCCCGAGAAAGCGGACAGCGGACATTGGAACAGATCGAAACAGTACACGTCCTGTTGGAAAAGCACAAGTAGTGCCCTCTGGTAATTTAACACTTTGCAATGGAAAGTCACCCTTGCTAGTAGGAAAACCATCTAAAGCCTGGGCCATGTTCCATATTTAATTAGCAATGTTAAAATTACCGTAGAGTAGGAGTTGAGTCAACTACTTTGATGATATTTGATCTTCGTTGAAATCATTGTTTCATATATCGAGGATGTTGCGGTTCATCATCTTCGACCTTCAAGCTTGTCAGGGTTGAGCGGAGCTCAGACTGAACACTGAGAAGCCTCGATCAACTCTGAATTTGGGGATGCTCTCTGGTAGATACGGAAAGCCGTCAATAAGAACATGATATATGGTCGGTGCCAGAATTATAGAACGGAAGTTGAGGAGTACGAAGGTACCGTTATTTACCGTACCCTGTTGTTCCATAATTATGTTTTCCTCGGAAGGTATGAAAAAAAATCTTAACTTACTCCTATTTTTTTCGTCGTTCTATAATTCTGGTTTGTTCTATAATTGTGTTTTCCCCATGTTTCCCACATTTACCAGTTTCGTTCTATAATTATCTTTTCCGTTCTATAATTAATTTTGCGTAAACCGTTCTATAATTCTGGTTTCTGTGTCACTTTTTTCCGAGATACATAAATTGATGCAAGTATATGTCAGCAACCTCCAAGGTGCCAGAAATTATAGAACAGACAAATTAATTATAGAACAGGATCCGAATCCGCGCGGAATCGGGATCCGGAGGAGTACGAAGGTACGGTATTTTACCGTACTTTTGTACTCCTAATTTCGTTCTATAATTTTGGCACCACCTGTATATATATATATACATATATATACAAATGGTGGATGGTCCATATCTATCTGCAAATTGATTTAGTGGAGAATACCCATCTGACAACTTCCTTTCGGAATAGAGCTCTCCCAGTTCAACAACGAGCAAACAGCAGCTGGAGAGGGAAGCCAGGACCTCACCAGATCTCATTGGATGTCACCTCTTGATACCTCTTGGATTTCTTCCACGTTTGGTTCCCAATGTTTCAACAAGGAACTGGAACTCCTTCATCAAAACCGGAAGGCTTACTGATGCTTACTGAGTCACTTCAGGGGTCCCTTTGCCTTGCTGAGGATTCTCCTGATTATCCTAGACCTAGACCCTCCGTTAGTAGCCATAAAAATTGATATGTCATCGTGATTTATCAATGTTTATTCCATATGTTCGATAACTTTTACCAATCGTTACCCATCTTTACCCATTGTACTTGGAGCGTGCAGTTAAATGGGTCCGTCCCCGAGATCGAGGCAACGTCTCCGCCTACGCACTACTGGCGAAGTTGGACAAGGCGGTGACTCATCATTTTGTGACATGGTTGATATGGTTGGTTAATAAGTTGACATAGTACCCCCCAAACAAAGATAGAGAAAGGTAGAACATGACTGGATGTTTAATCACATTCATATTTTTTTGAGGGGTGACAATACTAGAAGACAGTGGCAAAGAAAAAATCTTGGACTTGCCATGGCCAATCTGCATAGGGCAGCCTGTGTAGCTTGTCCAAGAACTGTGAAGATGGTGTTGTCGAAGATTTGTTGACCGTTCATGATGTGTTAATTGGGTTTTATTCGGAATATTCGGAATATTGTTATGGGCGTTCTGCTAATACGATTGGATATACATATATATATATACATATATGTATATACATATATATATATATACATATATATACATATATATATACATATATATATATACATATATATATACATATATATAAGTAGCAGCAATATATTACATTTGTTGTGTAACCAACAAAAGGGAGATTGAACCAAAAAGTCTTTGGGGATAGCATGGTATGTACTTAGATACCACGGGTTACAATTATTTGACCAACGATATGATAATTTGGCTGTGGAACTGTATTCAATCATCACAAGAACAAATGTTTGTGGATTGCCATCACAAGAACATTTACTATGACACCATCATAGTTTCCTTGGATATACCTCCAGTAGGTCCCAATCATGATTTCCAGTAACAATTTCTCAACAAGACCAAAACAAATGCATAAAAACCATTAAAAACCTCATTAAAACATGTCTTTTCCATGGCTGTCCCCAGGTTTTTTGCGCAAAAACCATGGCTCCGAGTCAGCCGGTGTTGAACAACAGGTCCTGCAGAACGAAGGGATCGAGGCGCTCTACAGTTTGGAGACTCAGCGCCGAGCCTTGGGATCCCCCCAATTCATTGGGTGCCCGTATAGCATAGATTATCAGAGGGTAACCAGAGGTCATCAAAGAGGGTATAGTCGGTATAGTAGCTATTTCTTGTACCCTCTAAAAAAATCATCGTAAAGTATCTATTTATTATATCACAAATAGCTATTTTTAGGTATATCATGGTATATCATCTAAAGCAACGTGATATGCACAGCTATTGTGATTCACCAATTTGTGGTAGGTAAGTCATCTAGAAATGGGCCATGTTCATCCATTTTCCACTATTGTTTAAATTTTGACATAGTATAAGTATAGTTGATGTTTTGTATATATATATATAAACATAACGTGATATAACTTGATTTAACTATAGTATTCATTGGGTTCATGGGGACTGTATTTATTTGGATGAAAAACTGGTCATGACCCCACCTCATGACGTCACTGGAAAGATGTTTTTTTGGGGGGAATCATCCCCAGTTCTGGCTGTTAGTGAATTACTATTTTGGTTGTTAGTGAGTTACTATTTGTTAGGGAATATTCCCCAAATGGCTATCTTATTTAGTGAACCATGGAAGAAAAATAAGATAAGTACAGCATCGAACTAAATGGGCCATCTAAACCATAGCTTTGCTATGTAGTTTGACACTTTCCCCATTATTTGATGGAGAGTTGTGTGCCATTTTTACTCGGTGTAGGGGTGAATCTTTTATTGGGCCAGCAAAAAATCAAGCGCTGGTCAGGCTCCGGATGCTTACAACATGAGGTTTAAGTAACATTTTGAATGTTTGAGGCTTTCAAAGATTGTTTGAGACACGTGTCACCAGAGTTGAAGGTGTGTTCAACTTGTATTCATAAGAGCTGAGCTGGTGTTTGCATGCGGTTGTCATCACCGCCAAGAATTGTAGAAGCTATCGAATCACTCGAAATAACGTGTTTAGATAGGATTATTCGGGTCTGTTGGAATATAAACATGGGTTGCATAAAAGTTGATTGTATAAAAGTGGTTTCCAAGTCTTGCACGAAATTTGTTGGTGAGTCTTTGCGGGAGCAAGCAGCTAATCTTTGGCCTGAGGCTCTAGCCAAGTGACATATGAAATGGCCACCGTTTAGCTTGGGATAAATTATTGCGGTGCTGATGTGACAATATGCATCCCCAATCTGCACTTGTACTCATTTATCTATCTATCTATCTATCTATCTATCTATCTATCTATCTATCTATCTATCTCTATATATATATAATATATTATATATATACACACATTAAGTATATCATTTGGTTTGATCCGCAATCTTAAACGATCTCAGATACGCAAAGTCAGTGTGCCACTCGCCTTCCCCTTTTTTTTTGACCCATCCGTCGGATAGCCAGCGCTTATGGTCGAGATTCGCCCTTCTATCCATGGCTGTTGGTGGTTAAACCTTATGACGCCCCGGATTTCTGATGGTGATAGCCACCAATGATGATCCCACATTAGAAACACCATTTGACTTTCATTTAAAATGATGATTTTTTGCCGGGTAAACCATGGTAACCCCACCTTTATAATGGTGGGACTTACCTTGCCAGGGGTCCCCTGGGTTCACCTTCCAGGCAGCTTGGACTGCGAGATGAGCTCCGGACTGAAGTCGTTCGGAGTTCCTGCGCAGCGCATCTTCGATACCCTCAGCAGTCGGGGAAACCTGGCGGTTTTACCCTCTGGTAATTTAACATAGCTATTGAAAATGGCCATTTATAGTGGATTTTCCCATTAAAATTGGTGATTTTCCATAGTTATGTTAGTTTACCAGAGGGTAATGTTTATTTTGTTTAATGGGATTTAACATGATTTAGCCAACAACAAATGGTGATTTACTGGAACTTAATGGGATTTGACCACAATATCATATATATATAACTTGGATCATCTTCCACGGATCGTAAGTGGTGAAACTAACCCACGGTTAGTAAGTCCCCTATATTAAAGTGGATGATTCCATTGATAGATGGATTATTGTTCCACTTTATAGCAACCCAATATTTTTCCAGGTCTCAGCATGATTGGGGAGCCTCAAAAAGGTGGTCCGATGGCATCCCAGACCCAACAACCATGGGATGCCAGTGTTTTTTTTGGTGTGTTGATATACCCCATTTAGCTAGATTTAGCCATCAGGATTATGATAAGCTATTTGTATCTATTTGTCATTTATGGCATGTTTTTAATGAATTTCTAGCCAACAAACATGTTGTGAGTCACCCTACACGAGCCAAATCACCATTGGTCCCAAGTCACTTCACTTAGATCACCCAGCCCTTGCGCCACAAGGTTCAAACAGTTCGTTCTTGCAAGCGCTGGAGCGATGTGAGGAGCAAGCTGTGCTCGCTAGCCTGTTGGTTTTCATGTGTTTGATCCCATTTTAGAGGACCATTTTGAAATGGCTACCCTCTGGTAATGAAACATGCCAATGGAAAATCCAATCCATATGAAAATCCACCATTAACAGACAGTTATAGTTATAGTTGATCTTCCCTTTTAAACCTCCTTAAATATCCATTTACAGGGGATGTTCAATTGCCATGCTTGATTACCTGGGGGTATATGCCTGCACCCGCCCAGCAATGGTCCGCTGGTGCCCAATGTGTGGTCGTCGCCGTAGCCATGCCTTTCCAACATCTGAAGTGTCGCTAGGACATGGTCATGGAAAGTCTGCTAGAGGCACGGAGATTTTGCCTTCCCTCTCAGTACATACGGCCCCAGTCGGGTCGCTTACTTGCACCGTGAATTACAGCTTCACGTTATTCACCTTGAATGGACCATCCAGTCCCCAATGGTTTCCAGTTTCCAGATGAAGTTTTTTGCGCCGAGGGGAAAGTGCCATTTCTGAAAATTCACATCAGGCTTTGCGCACTGGCAAAGGCATTTCGGCATTTCTGTGAACTTCCCACCATCATGTCAGTCTGCTATAGGTTGGAACCTCATGATCCTACAGAGAATTAGCCCTGTGTAATTACAAGATGATTGACATTTCCCCGAAATCTAAGATGGTCAGAGATCTCAGATACGACCTCGGATAAGCATTGCACGGGAAATTGCATCTGGAGCAAATGGTTAGAACATCCAGTTTCCACTTGGCCAATGTGATACTGTGGTCTTCACCGATCTGCGTTTCGGCATCATGAAATGAAAGAGTTGTACTGTATTCCGCGATCTGTGCAATAGGCACTGCAATTGGCCCTACTTTGTGCGAGGATATACGTGTACGACAGCTGCTGTTGTAGTGGAGCATTGTTCACCAGCTACCAGGTTACCACCTGTTGAACAATCACTTTATTGCTGGTGACAAACATTGTTTGTCGTTACACTGCGATGATCAATGATCAATATTTGACAGAGTTGTTCCCCTGGAATCTCATGAAAATCAATCCATTTTATATTTCAAGATAGCCATTATCAGTGTTCCCCTTCAAAAGGCCATATACATAATATATATTATGTATACATTCATTCATCTTCTGATACATTGTTTGTTTGACAATATACATACATAATCATACATACTACATATTAAAAATATATATATATATTATACATTCTAGATCAACACTATGGTTTTATGATACCCATTGCACCCATGGAGTGGGTCTTCGGCAGGGCTTTCAGCGGCAGATTTCGCCTCTCCTGGAGGTCTCTGAGACGCCGGAGCAGATGATGTCACTGGGCGGTCTATGGCGGTCTGGGGGTGAAAGCCATAGAAACCCCATCTCCAACAGCACTGGGGGATGTTTTAATCTACGGAAAATCCATGGCGAGTCACTCAATTTTTTTGAATGGGAATAGAACGGGTAGTGGGGGAGAGATTGGGATCTACCATCTCCAGTTGTGACGATGAAAATTGAGGATATGAGAGATGGGATTTTAATAGGGTTCTAATGGAAACATAATGGGGATGAACCATAGTTACAGTTATTATGGGTATACCTACGATGGGTTCACCTCCATAAGTTGGGATATAACATGATATAACCATACAATACCATACATATATAACCCACATAGCTATTGAAGCTATTGCTATATCTCCAGCTATAACCCCAACTGTACCCGTACCAGCTGAGTGGCATTTTTTCATGCCATGGAGCTTTTTCCCTTTCAACGGGCCATGCCATGCTCCACAGCTATCTCAACCTACCGCACGGTAAGATTAGTGATGTGAATGTTGATGATTTAGGCATGGATGAAGCAAGAGTATCGAATCACCTTCTCAGGTCTGTCGGAATTTAACGCGTAGTGTAGGTGCTATGACAGGGATGACTGCTGATTTGTAGTGCTTTGTCATCCCCAAAAAGATACAAAAGTAAAACCTTGGGGGAGTTTGCCCCATATGTAAAGTTAATTGAAGGTACCCAACTATAGTAACAATGCTTGCAGACCCCGTTCCGCCCAAGATCATGGGGAGTAGTGAAACTCTACATTCAATTGGGAAGAGCAACAAAGGTATTGAGGAAGGAATCTAAGTTCCCACCCCCGTTTAACTTTAAGATTCAATTGGGAAGATCAACAAGGGTATTGAGGACTATCAATTCCCGTGATGGTGATGATGGCGGTGGTGATGATGATGAAGATGATGATGATGATGTGTAAAAGAGTCGCAAAGGTCCCTATGCTGTGCGTTCCGATATATAGCATGAAGTCAATCATCGGTGTTGATGACCGACAACGTCGAGCAAATCGAGGGGTTTGGCCGGAACAATGACGGCCTGTGTGGCATCCGCAGGATTCTTCGCTTCAGTAGATGGAGGATGTTGCCCTTCTCGAATCTCTATAGTACTATAGATGTCTTTTTTTGAAGCGGTGCAGAAACAGGTGTATATATAATATATAGCTTAGCACTCGAAAAACATATCTCACAGTGAATCCTCACTGTTTTTCTTTAGCTGAGGCAGATCGAACTTCAAGACTTCCTAGGTTTGAGCCAGGTGCAGCTGTGGAATATGTGTTGCCCCGGGAAGAAAAGTAGTGGAATTTGAGCGATTTAAAGCGGAAGGTTGAGTTGACATTTGGGACTTTGGGGTTTCACTAGTCACTAGTCTGTAGTGTGTTGGTGATGCGAGAGCTGGAACGGATTGTCTCACAGAATGCCGCCATCTATTTCGATGAAACCGTCGATCTGGCTTTACTTAGTAATGTAGAGGGATGCAGGGGGGTATCTGTTATAAACAGAAAAATACAGATCGAGGTATAATATACATATTTGCTAACACAACTATAAAAGATATAATTACATATATATATATATATATTTATTTATAACTATATATGTAACAATTATTATATATATATGTTAAATGTGCACAATTAATATAGTTACTATATGTATAGAGAGGATATATATATATATATTAATGTTTGATAAATGTTCAATGTTACATGGTAACAATTCATGGTCAGTGAAGCCCAGGAGCAGGCCGTGAGGCTGGTGAAGGCGGGAAGATTTTGCTGCAAGGACGTGAACAGCCGCCTTGCTCGGCAAGGTGGGCTGGTGGATGGTGGATCCTCTGGTCATGGGAATTTTGTGTGCATTTTTTTTCCAGCGAAAATCGTGATTTTATGGGAATTGACCTGCAAAACTGATGGGATTTGGTGGTATTTTACGAGCAACAATGATGAAATAATAGTGATTTTCAATGGTTTTTTCAAGCAAAATTGATGATTTCATGTGATTTAATCGGATTTGCCATCCGGCAATTTCACATACTTGGCTATGGTTGAGACGGCCCGTTTAGTTTCAGGTTTTAAGTGTAGTATAAAAACTGGTGATGTTCCATAGCTATGTCATATTCCCAAAGGGTACCGTATGTTGTAGTCATACATATAGATATATGTTGTTTAATACATATAATTACATATATACATGTAAATATATAGCTGTACCAACATGTATGATCGTGAACTTAGAATCAGACCCGGTTGAAAGCGGCAGCTGATGCTGATCCCTAAGAACCGTGGCTCCGCGTCCAGGCATGGTGGAGCAGAATATGTACATCGCCGTGCCCAACTACAGCAAGGTGGCATACAGTATAATCGGTATGTGTATTAATGTATTTTTAAAAAAATGATAATTATATACATGATTATATGCATATGTATGTACATGTTTTTTGCACAAAATTATGTGTATATATATACATACATACTTATATATATATATATATATTGTATATATATATGTATGTATATATGTATATATATATATATATGTATATATATATATATGTATATATATATATATGTGTATATACGTAATACATGTATATATCACAAGTAGGTGTATATATATATATATCAATTATATATATACATATTGACATATCATACATATATATATATATAGTATGTGCACGTTGAGCTAAACTAAAACCACGTGAATGGTTTTTGTTTTGGAGGTTGACTATCTATATGGCAACTCACAGCCTCACAGTGGACTTGGGAAGGAAGTTTGCGCACTTTTCTCATTGGAGTGTCAGCGAAGTTTACATAGTCAAAATTCATTTAGATACCAAACTCATATGCATGTGTCATACACCGTATATACAATACATATATATATATATATATACATGTATATATATATACGTATATATATATATACACACACACCTTTCAACCCTGTACATAGTTATGTATACCTGTAGTCAGCTGTTGAATCTAAAGCAGGGCTGCAAATAGCTGAAGCCTTTCTGATTGCATGGCCCCATCGCCATAATGAACTCCCGCAGTTCGCCGGTGAGCATCGACAGGTGGTAGAGACGGTAGATGTGGGCTCCAACTGTGGAGCAGAACAGGAAGTGAGTTTCTAGATCGCAGAGCAGTGGCTGTGTTCAACGGCGATCCTGGTGATCCAACCCCTCTTGGTGTTTTGTTGTTTGGTTTCTGGGGTTCATAGCTATTTTGTTTCCTTGAAAAAGCATTTACGTCAATTTACAGGTTGTCATTGGAAGATGGATGAACATAGATATTCCTGGTTGGTGGTTTGGAACATGTTTTCTTTCCTCAATAGTTGGGATGATGATCCAATCTGACTTTCATATTTTTAAGAGGGATTGAAACCACCAACCAGTATTCCATGTTATTTCCTGTTGATTACCTTGGAACATCAAAATGAACCAACCACGGTTTTTTGATGTGGGCATTGCGCCAACCCGACAAAGGCTTGAGTCGCTTCGGAGTGTGGACACCCATGCGATGCACAGCTTGGTTTTGATGCTGAACATGTGGTTCAAATGATGGGTACTGTAAATGATGCTTTGATGCAAGATATTCAAGAAAACGCGTGATACTATAGATGTATGCTATAACTATCTACTGTACAGTAGTTCATGATATCTGTAAGAAATGTGAAAAATAACATGTCAACACGATCCACATGAGCAGTGGCAAGACAACTCTGTGGGTTGATGATTGGGTTTTTCATGATCCATGAACTGGGAATCCTGTTCTTAACCAGCCAGTACAATGATTTTGTTTGCGAACATGGCTTTGCTCTTATGAATGAATCAATGTTCACTTGTTTAACGAGTATCATGCGTTTTTTTATGCGTAGCTTTCTTCTAGACTTGTAGCTTCATGCTGTCATGCTGCTTCTTGCCCACTCGGGTACTGTTAAGCACTTGAATCTAGGTACAGAGGGTTTTCTGCGGTGTGATGCTATCCATTGCAGCAGTCAACCATGAAATACATTCTTGAATATTGTTAATGGGAAGGTAGCCCAATTGCTGGAAAGCATTAAAAGGAACAGCGTGAGACAAGAGCACTTTTTGGATGAACATGCGCAGGGACCACACGCTTAACACCCATGCAACACAACCAAAACCACTAAACGTCCAGCATGTTTGTTTGTCATTTTCACCATGTCCATCCCGAGAAGTGTCCTGTGCGTCTCATACCCCAGATCATCCATGCATGTCCTTACATTACCACCACCCAACTCCTCAAACACTCCATCGATGTCGCTAAAAGACAAACAGCATGGATTGTATCAGTGCACGCTGTAGCCATATTCTATACACTCAACCTGGAAATTGCAGATTCATGTCCTTTCTCTCGACATAAGGATCATAAGGGGATCCCAAAAATTGCCATCGAACGAATGAGAAAAAATGTGACCAACCATGGGGTATTGGGGTACCAGGTTTTGCTTTGAAATGTCCATCCAATGTGCTAGAACCAATAATAAACCATCCTCAATATTACCATAAGTGGTTGATAAACATACTTTTCCAAATGGTATGTCTATTTTTGGGTTACCACAAATCTCCATGAATTCCCATGATGCGATACATGAATGCGCCGCATAATCCCAGGTATCATCAGACAGATTACATCCTGTTAACGGGATGAAGAATGATCATTTCTGGCAATCCCCATGTCATCATTTATGTTCATGAATGTTACATGTAATATTTCATTTATATAACATTAATAAATCATCAATATGGGGATCATTTATTAATCCCCACCAATGTTATATTCATTATCACAAGACAACTCACACTATGCCCCTGGACGGGTCGCCCCGGAGTCTACGGGTCGCTCGACTTAGTTCGTTTGCTGCATGGAGAGCGTACTCTATGATGAGTTGGGGGACCCGGGGGGTTGGAAGAAACGGTGATGAAATATGTGAAACTCATGGGATAACTTGCAGGATAACAGGCAAACATGGCTTTGAAGCACTATACCATTCGGTAAGTTAACAGTTTGCCATAGAAAAATAACACAAAAATGGTTCATTTTGTTGATAGGTAAATTAAAAACAAATATATATATATATATCTGGGCTGTTTTCCCTAGAGCAAATAATCAGAGGGTACGTAACAATCAAAAATGGGGGATGGTCAGAACTTGTTTGTTGATGATCCATCGGTTTTCTATTTATATGTCCCACGCAAAAGGAAATTCCGTTAAAAATCATCTTCATGTCAGAAGTTCCTGTTGAACATGGCAATTCTTCATTGGCATTTTCTCTCAGAGGGGTGTGTCTGAAAATAGAGGATTTAAATTGTCATCAAAGGCGAACAGTCTTATTTTATTCATTGAATGTTGTGTTTTTTTGGGTTTCCCCTACATTTTCAGATATTTTCAGAGAACCATCCAATTCATCCATCAAATTTTTGGTGGTTTTCCCATGGTTTTCCCTACATTTTCAGATAACCATTGGAGAGTCCGTGAATCACCAAGGCCTGCAAGGGCCACATGTCGAGTGCTCATTCCCTCTCAGCTGCTCATGTTGAGCAAGGCGGCCGCGCGACAACTCGTAGGGAACCTGAGACTGCGGGAGGGGTTTTGTGGATGGTCACCAGTGTCAGCAACAAGTGGTATACCTATACCTGGTTGGTGGTTTGGAACATATTTTTGCCATTCAGTTGGGATTTTCATCATCCCAACTGACGAACTCAATCATTTTTCAGAGGGGTAGGTATACCACCAACCAGTATAGTATATCCTCTGGTACTAAAAAACGTGGCAATGGAAAATATGTGGAAATCCATGGAAAATCCTCGAACGAAATGGAGGTTTCAATGAAAATCGTCTATTGCGCTGTTGGACTACCGGAGGGTAGGTATAATCCTGTTTTGGATAGATAGAATATGTAAGTGTCATGAAGTTTCTAGCACATTTAACTCTTAGTTGTTGTTTGTTTGATATGTATATATATATATATTTTATCTTATCCAGGATTTCTACTCTATATGTATAGAGTAAACCAAATAGAATTCAAACCAAAACACTATAACATACTTTTCAGGTTCCAGGCCAATAGTTGTAGGTTTTTCAAGCCCTTTTGCCATGGGTATCCGTTTATCAATACAGGAACGGCCCCCCAAAGGGTAGGTTTCTCTAGGTTTGCAAATAGGCTAAGAAACACATATTTACATGGTGGTCGTATAAATGATAATGTAAATAGTTGTATATATATATATACAGATATATGATATTAGGGTAAAATATAGTATACTATGCTATAATATATTATATAATATTTTCTTATAGTATATTTCTTTATACTGTACGATATTATTTTACTTTACATTACATTACATAATATTATATTATTAATACGTTATTATGTTGTTTTTTTTATGTTGTATTGTTTGTATTATCTTATTTGTTATGATATTGTATTGTATTGTGTAGTTTTTTACATGTTGTTTTAACTATATATATATTGTATTATATTGCATTATACGATTTTTCATTATACTATATGTGTCATTGTTATACATATAATATATTATTATATTTATATATATTTACTTTTTATATAAAAAGCATTTAATATACTATAAGATAATATAATTGTAACCAGTACTGCCCTCTTTGTGTGTGGGCATTTTGGGCCGTAGAAACTATACAGGAACTATATGGGATTTCAGAGAAATTATATTCGGGTTGCCAGGAACTATCGGAAAAACATTACAGTTAGCTCAACGCGAAAAAACCGCTGAGACCGTCTCAGACCGTCTCAAACCATGTCCAAACTGCAAGAAAAAACCCTTCGAGACCGTCTCAGACCGTCTCAAACCATGTCCAAATTGCAACAGGAACCATCAAACAGCATGTGCATACATACCGTACAAGTGCAGTTTTTGTTTTGCAGTCATCGCAATACAGTCTCAGCAGATTTCAAAATAGTTCCTGGATAGTCTCAGCTGATTTCATTTTAGTTTCTGGGTGTCCCAAATTTTACGTCACAAACTGGCCAATAATGAGGGCAGTGGCAGTTACAAAATATACTGTAATATAATTTTCAACATAATATGATACAATGTAATGTAGTGTGATATAATATATATATATATAGATATGTTATGATATGTTGATATGTACATATCTGAGTTTCATTGGAATCTTAACCAACAAACACACCATCGTTTCATTGGGGCGTCCGTTTGCGCGCGGACGTGGAGTGCGTACGGACGTCAGTTATGGCCATTGTGGGAAATTATATGGAACATCCATAACTGGCCATGAGGATTATCATTTAAAATCTGGATTATCATGATTAGTTGGGGATAATCCAGGTTTTAAAATGTTTTAAATGAGGGCACCTTTATTTTCAGACCGGTGTGTGATCATAAACCAGTGATATTTGTTTTCCATCGACCTTGAACCTTGCTTTCCGACCCTGAGGTCGACTCAGATCCAGCCTTAGGGAATCGCCAGAGCCTTAGATTTTTTGCCTCACTGGATCTTGATAGCAATCCCAGATCCATCATGACTCCCAGTTTGCACGTTTGGTCACTAGGTAAGCATTTGGGTGTGTTTGATGGAATATACCGTATACCCTCAAAATGGCAAGTTGTCAAGTTGACCAGCAAAACATTGGGGCAAAACATTGTTGAGCAAAAAAGCAGCTAGATGGATGTAGATGGATGTAGTTTTCTCATATTTTCTGGATTTTTTGGATGACATTTCGGACCAGACCAGATATGTCGATGGTGCTTTGGGGATGATCTACCCCCAGCATTTTTGTCGCCCAGGTTTGAGTCGCGTGGTGGCGCAACAGTGCCTGAGCGTTTTGATCGTGCAAGGGAAATCAAGCAACTGGATTTGTGGATGTTTGTAGGATATGATATGGATTTATCAAAGGAAGTTGGGAAGCAATTTCCGAGTTACGAATGACTTTTTACTTGGTGCAATTGACTATGATGAAGGGTGGTAGATCCTGTAACAATACATAATGTACCAATACATCACAATGTACCAATACATAACAAAAGAATAAGAAGCTATGAAATTGACCTTGAGGAAGTGATGATGAAGGGGAGTGGTGGCGAAGGGAAGTGGTGAGGAAGGGAAGTGGTGAAGAAGGGAAGTGGTGACGAAGGGAAGCGGTGAAGAAGGGAAGTGATGATGAAGGGGAGTGGTGACGAAGGGAAGTGGTGACGAAGGGAAGTGGTGACGATGGGAAGTGGTGACGAAGGGAAGTGGTGGTGACGAAGGGAAGTGGTGACGATGGGAAGTGGTGAGGAAGGGAAGTAGTGAGGAAGGGAAGCGGTGACGAAGGGAGGTGGTGACGATGGGAAGTGGTGACGATGGGAAGTGGGGAGGAAGGGAAGTGGTGAGTTGGGGAGGAAGCCGGAGCACGAAACCTTGTGTTTTTCCGTGTAAAGTGGCTGCAGCCGGCGATGAAAGGTACCTCGTGTGTGCGGCGGTTGCGGCTGGGGTCGGTTTATCGTTTTTTTTGCCGCAGTGTAACGGTGGCTTGAAGCTGCTTTGGGTGTGGTTGTGTGTGCGTAGTTATAGTGTGTTTTGGAATCTGTGCTTGCAGATCGCATTGGAATGGCTGCATGATGTTGCAAGGGCTCTGTTTTGGGGAGGAAGCCGGAGCACGAATCCTTGCGTTTTTCCGTGTAAAGTGGCTGCAGCCGGCGATGAAAGGTACCTCGTCTGTGCGGCGGTTGCGGCTGCGGTCGGTTTGTCGTTTTTTTTTTGCCGCAGTGTAACGGTGGCTTGAAGCTGCTTTGGGTGTGGTTGTGTGTGCATAGTTATAGGGTGTTTTGGAATCTGTGCTTGCAGATCGCATTGGAATGGCTGCATGATGTTGCAAGGGCTCTGTTTTGGGGAGGAAGCCGGAGCACGAATCTTTGCGTTTTTCCGTGTAAAGTGGCTGCAGCCGGCGATGAAAGGTACCTCGTCTGTGCGGCGGTTGCGGCTGCGGTCGGTTTGTCGTTTTTTTTTGCCGCAGTGTAACGGTGGCTTGAAGCTGCTTTGGGTGTGGTTGTGTGTGCGTAGTTATAGGGTGTTTTGGAATCTGTGCTTACAGATCGCATTGGAGTGGCTGCGTCAAGGTTGCTTGGTGCAGCGGCTGCATGCGTAATACTATTGTCTTTTGCAGCTGAAGATCGTAAATCGTATTGGAATGGCTGCATCAAGGCTGCGAAAGTGATTTGTCAGCAGATTTTCCCAATTTTGGCGCTAATAATTTTCCTTTTAAAATTCCTTTTAAAAAGTGCACCAAAATCGTCTTTTTTTCGCTTTGGCGTCGAGATCCGGTTTTGGAGCTGCAATTTCCGACGCCATTGCATGTAGTTCTATTGTGTTTTGCAACTCAGAGACTGCAGATCGCATTGTAGTGGCTGCGTCAAGGTTGCTTGGTGCAGCGGCTGCATGCGTAATACTATTGTCTTTTGCAGCTGAAGATCGTAAATCGTATTGGAATGGCTGCATCAAGGCTGCGAAAGTGATTTGTCAGCAGATTTTCCCAATTTTGACGCTAATAATTTTCCTTTTAAAATTCCTTTTAAAAAGTGCACCAAAATCGTCTTTTTTTCGCTTTGGCGTCGAGATCCGGTTTTGGAGCTGCAATTTCCGACGCCATTGCAGCTTGGGTCCGCAATGTCATTGCGGATAGTGAGAACTTCTTGCCTGATTTGCTTCGTGAAGTGCCATGACGGACAACCAGGCTTCCAACGTGATAAGCTCTCCAGCCTTTCGTGCCAGTGCGGGCCGAAAAGCTGCCAGAAGCCTAGACGACCAAGTGTAGCGCAGAGAAAAAAGCAGCTGTCGAGCTTGGACTGCGTGAATCTCCTTGACAGGTAACAACTACACCATGTTCACACTTGCCGTTGCGATTTGATGCAATGCATCAACGCTTGGCATTAATGACTTCAATATTGTAAATATTTTCTGGTCTACGCCTTTTGGCATGTAGAAGAACCGACATGAGTTACGCTCAACCTTGCTGACGTGCAGAAGCGCCGAGAAGAGCTCAGATGAGATGAAGTGTGGAGTGTGAAGAGTGCAGTGTGAAGTGTGGGGCGTGAAGAGTGCAGCGTGAAGTGTGAAGTGTGGAGTGTGAAGAAGAGCAATGAGAAGTGAGAAGTGTGGACTGTGAAGTGTGAAGTGTGGACTGTGAAGTGTGAAGTGTGGAGTGTGAAGTGTGGATTGGGGAGAGTGCAGTGTGAAGTGAGAAGTGTGAAGTGTTGATTGCGAAGGGTGCAGTGTGAAGTGTGAAGACTGTCAAGTGTGAAGTGTGACGTGGAGCTTCAAATGTGACATGTGCAACACGACACCAGTTTCGCAGAGTGCACGCACGCACGGGCTTGGCTGGCGCACGGCGCATGCAAGTTCTATAGATGAGAAAGGTCTCATATATATCTTTAAGGCAACTTCCGCCCCGCCTCGTGCGGGTACTACTGGTAATGGGATATAAGTATAACTAACCATGAATAGCGTGCAATATGAGAACTGGTGCGCCATTGGCTTTATGATAGGCTTTATGATTGGGTTTATGCATTACGCATCTCTTAAGAGGGAAATGGCAATCGGGTTTACTACAGGATATATACAAAACCAAAAACATTCCCAAGTTTGAAAGAAATTGGGTGTAAATGACCAGATTCATGCCATAGATGTTCCTCCCCAAAGCCGTCGTAAAGAATCCAGCGATTAGCTGATTAATGCTGATTAGCACTACAGTTGCAAAACTTAACAGCATTTTTTCCACTAAGAGAAAAACATCCAGTTGAAATGGGGTTAGCACTGGCACTATCCCTAACATTCCTTTTCAGGTGTTTGCGTCAAAGCGACGCTTTGCGGCAAGCCTTGCAACTCAGCGAGGGGGGCGGATGGAAAGGCCAGACGTCGATGGGATTTCAAGATATTTTGGGGATTTTCCATGGATTTCCTTCATATAAGCCATATCACATGCCATTTGATAAGGATTTAAACCAAGATTGGGCTGAAAAAAGATGCAGACTGGAGATGGAATTTCTTCGCTGTGGGATATATTGCATTTACGGCCACTGAAGAGTAGGGAACATGATTATCAATCATCAAATCTAAGACTTCCTATTTTCAGACAAAGCTAAAGAAGATTTGAGAAACCGACATAAGAGTTTCCATGATCAAGAGTTGGATTGTATACCCAGTCCTAGCATGGGAATAATGAATCCATTTTCATAGGGATTTATGTACCCATGATGTTTGAATTCCATTGGATTCAACATCTTAGATGGATGACCACAAACCACTAAAAGCCTCTGGTTATTTAACATTATCATGGTTTACCTATCATGCTAATGGGGATTCTCCAGTTCGCAGACGGTTAAATTCTTAGAGGGTACCATTTTGGGTACCATGTAACTTGACCAAAAACATGCTGGAAACTCCAACACCAGCGCAGGCGGTCACTTTGATCTACACACGGCGAGTGTGTGCATGAAGATGATTGACAATGAAAAGGTGGGCGAATCAGGAGCAACACATCATAAGCCCGGTGAACCGCCAGGGCGCACCAAGGGAAGTATGTGACATTACTATACATTTACTATGACATACGATGACTATAAGATACTATAAGTAAACATAAGTTGTAACACTTATTTCAAACCCCTGGTGCTGTTTGTTGGTTTTTCTTTGCGGGTCATTAAACCAAGCGACCTGTTGGAATTGGGGAGCATCATCCATGAGCTGGGAATCCCTTGTTTTTTAAACATTACTGGGGGTTATATACTACCATGGTACCATAGGACGGTAGAAAACCGTATGAAAACAATTATTTTGGGGATGCGAGGGCTTCTCAGCAATGTCAATGACCAATTTCATATCCCGGCATATATGTTGCATAAAGGCAGTACAGACCAGCTATATTTAATAGTGACATCAGGTAGGTTGACGTGCGGAGTACACTACCTTCCTGTACCAGATAGAATTGGACAGTTGGGTTAAAGATATACTGTAGCTGGGAATTGCATACCAAATGGGAAAAAAAAGTGGTCAAATAAAGTGCCTGGTGAGAATGCTAGAACTCCCATGAGGAATCCGAGAAGACACCTAGTGCTTCTATGGTCAGGACTGAGAGGACCCCTTTGTTTGGGTACCTTGTCACATCATGGTGCAAGCACATTACAGACACACCTACATACAGAATATACTAGTTGTATCTAGTTGTATAATTATCTAGTATAATATTGCATTATGTATATAGTTAGGTTTGTATATACATGATCATATCATATGTATATCACATATATATATATATGTAGAATTACACCATATAGGTCACTATAACATATATATATACATACAATTATGATATATCATATATAACATATATAACATATATCACATATATATCATAGATAATGTATTTATATAACGTACAGCTGCCAGGGCACGGCTTGTGGCAGCGAGTCCCAGCAGGTCGCGCAGCATTTCAGTCCGGGAGCCACGGATGTTTGATTCTGCACGGTGGAAATGGATTTGTTTTGGGGGTTCATGGGGAGTTTACGGACATTTTGGAGATTTTATGGAGGTTTATCAGATTTAATGGGGATTTAATGGGATTTAATGGGAATTTGATGGATTTTATTGGAGTTAATGGTGATTTAATGGGATTTAATAGGGGATTAAATGGTGCTTTGATGGCTTTCCTGGATTTTTATAGACCTACTGGGTTAAATACAAATAGTCGACTGGGATTTAACAGGTTAACCACTAGTATGTGAACAATCAGGAATATAATGGGAAAAAACACAATAATGGTATGATATTTGGATGTGTCTGAAAATTGGGAATACCCCCAGTTATATTCATGTAAATGGCAACGCATGAGAAACCGTGTCTTCTGGGCACCATATTTTCAGACATACCCAAGTGGCACAACAAATGAAAATCACTGAGCATTTGATATACCATGGATATAGAATGGGATATATGGGGATACGTTGCGGGATAGTTATATAATAATAGTTATTATATATATATATATATATATACACACACGATATATAAACAACGATCTTAGGTGTGTGTCTGAAAATGGGGTATACCTCCCTGCTATGGCAATTTGAATCGGAGAAATTATGACAAACCAATGGATTTAGGGGTGACTAATTGTGCATGACAGCTGGGAAGCAAATGCGTTGTATGCAGCCTTGAGTAGAAATTATGAACAGGAAGGGACAAAAAGATCGTTCTTGTGGTTGTGGTTTGGGACAAGATCCTGATTTTGTGAGTTCATTTCATTATTTGATACTTGTAGCGGATGAGACTATTTGATTGGTTTATTTGACACGGATAAATGTCAGCAGTATGTCTCTCAGACAGCTCATTCGTTCGCACAGCTGTAGTTCAGGAGCCAGTAGGCATACGTACTTGCAAATGGTTTAATGCTACCTGTTGTACAGTACCTATCCAACAGAGGAAAGCTGTTGGATCGTTTTATTCAGTAGGAAGCGACATGGTTTCCTGTAGAAGTTTGCTTGAATCAACTGAGTGAAACACATTATCATGTATAGATGATATTCCCCTACCATTCTAGATTGTAGATGCTGTTTTATGGGTGATTTCCCATTGCCATGTTTGATAACAAGAGGCTATTCATTAGATTCCCAAAGCCTGAACCTCTGGAACCTCCTGATATTTTGGGCTGAAAGCCCAGGCACATGTGTATACCGGGCACTAAATACAGTGTGTAATATGTATATAGAAAAGATATATATATATATGTGTAGGATATATAATAGCATAATATTATATAATATGTTTATTTCAAATATCATAAATACAATACATATCATATCCCTTATATCCTCAAATTCTGGTTGGTTATACCCATCTATTGCTTCGATATCGCCACGTCCCGCCACGTCAGGCACCTTGAGGTCCCCCACTGTGATACGACGAAAGAGGTGGAGCCAAGCAGGGAAAAAATCAAAAGAACGAAGCACAAAACGTGGAAAAAGCATGTTGAATGTGAAAAATCCATGGAAATGCAGAAAAATATATGCTGAAATTGAAGTCTTGGATACCTGGGCAATGTTCAAATTTTGCAATGAACATGATTGAACTCTGATTTGAATGATCGCACAGTGATTTGAAACATGAGTTGAGAAGTTAGTTTTAAGTAACCCCAAAAAGATAGACACCTATTTTCAGGATGGTAGTTCGATGAGTTGTTTTGCCGAGTTTCCCAAAGTTTCTATCTTTTTTTGGGGGTCGCAACAGGGCGCCGGTGTGCTCTTTTTCCCGCAAGGCCTTTGTCGCCAAAGGGGAAGGTCTATCGTGCCAGTACCATTGAGCCACCCAGCTGTGATTGGTCAAGGACATGTTGGAAAAAACATAGAGATAATATTTTCCAGCCCAAAAAATTATCCTAGACCCTTCAAGTACCCAAAAAACGGGTATGTTGCATTGTTTTATTCCAGAGAAAAAGGGTTGCTTTCATATGTTTTTATAGGTATTTTCCACGGTCTAGTTTTTTGTTGGAACACTGTTTTTTTTTCAAGATCTTGGGTTTCTGTGCGGTTGGGATGGTCGAAACTTTTGAGTCCAAGCTTGTTTTTTGACTTTTTGATTTGGGAAGGTCCAAAATTGGGTGGGACCGAGACACGCCAGACATCCACAGACTCCCCCGGCTCGGGCTAAGGAATTGGTCTATGAATTGGCCATCTCGCCGTGTTTTGCTGTGGTGGTGTAAGGCCACAACATCATTTTTTTGAGGGAAACAGAATTCTCCAGAAAGCATGGTGTGCTGTTTTTTAGATTTTCACGATATTCAATCTAAAGGCTTATCCCCCTAAGTAACTAGTTTATGATCTTGGTTCATGAGTCCGCGAACCCAGGAATAATTGGCTTACAGGCTTGTAACTGCCAATCAGATGATTGGTACCAGTACAACACATCCCCGATACGTTTAATAAACACCCCCATTCTCCCATGAAAAACCATGGTGTTTGATAAATAGAATGTGAATCGGGAATGGGATTAAAGCATATTAAAACATATATTAAAACGATGTTTTCTTGGTAATACAGTAATCCATTTTGTGGGTGGTTAAATCGTCATGTTCGGCTGCAGGCTACTGGGCCATGGGCCGTTTAAAAATGTTGGAGCAACTCCAATGGGCTCATGGGACTCAAGATACAGGCCATTTACTGATATGATTTGGCATCATAAATCTTATTAAAAAAATACTTTACTTCGTGTGATCCCCACCATGACATTTATACATTTTCTTACTGGCAAATCTTCTGGCATTCTATCTGACATATCTTCTGACATTCTATTTGGCATTCTATCTTGCATATCTTCTGGCATATGATCTGGCATATCTTCTGGCATATCTTCTGGCATTCTATCTGGCAAATCTTCTGGCATTCTATCTGGCATATCTTCTGGCATATATCTGACATATCTTCTGGCATTCTATCTGGCATCTGGCATTCTTCTGGCATATATTCTGACATATCTTCTGGCATTCTATCTGACATATCTTCTGGCATATATTCTGACATATCTTCTGGCATATCTTCTTGCATATCTTCTGATATCTATCTGGCATATCTTCTGGCATATTTCTGGCATGGCATATCTTCTGGCATAATCTGGCATTCTATCTGGCATATCTTCTGGCTTCTTATCTGGCTTCTCTCTGGCAATATCTTCGGCCTATTATCTGGCATTCTATCTGGCATATCTTCTGGCATATCTTCTGACATTTCTTTCTGACTTCTTTCTAACTTTCTTCTGCACATTCTTTGTCGGCCATATCTTCCTACATGAGGTCCGGCAGGGAAACACTTGGCGTGGATACTCGCGGTTGAGGTCCGGCAGGGAACTGGGCGTGGATTGGTCGTGGTTGAGGTCCGGCAGGGAACACTGGGCGTGGATGGTCGTGGTTGAGGTCCGGCAGGGAACATTGGGCGTGGATGGTCGTGGTTGAGGTCCGGCAGGGAACACTGGGCGTGGATGGTCGTGGTTGAGGTCCGGCAGAGAACACTGTGGATCGCGGGTCGCAGTTGAGCAAGGACGACGAGGACGACGAGGACGACGAGGAGGACGAGGAGGAGGAGGAGGAGAAGGAGGAGGAGAAGGAGGAGAAGGAGGAGGAGGAGGAGGCAACTGACATAAAATCTAACAACCCTCACCTGGCAGGTGGGGAAAAACATACATTCATAAAACATCATCAAATGTGATACTCATATATCAATGTATGTTCACTTTATGTGTTGATTTGGCATGACCATCAGAATCACAAGATGGCTAATATCTCATACAGACCCGGCCAGGATGGAGAATCGGGAGAATCGTCAATCTGTGTGAGGTGAGGGGTGAAGCTGCAGGACTCTTCAACCCATTTTTTTTCGACTTTGTCTGCCTTGGAGTTAGTGACTTTGACAGGATTTTCTTTGCGCATTTTAGTTGATTGAAAGTGAAAGATATTTGAACTGGGCGGATCTGGAAACATCTGAAAATCAACATGGTAGAATTACGATTTGTGCAGAATTTCCTTTTGGAGACCCGGGCTTTGGACGGTTTCAGGCGATTTTTTCGCAAATTGCCTGGCTTATATGACACCCACGCTAGCACTTTACCTCCATATCTGGGCTTTGGGTTGCACCAATGGGACAGAACAAGTTTGATGTTCCAGGTCAACAAAATCAAGAAACAACCAAATTGATTCATAGATAGACACAAAAATAAAAGTTTATTGCATCAAAATATGCTGGCCTTACTGTAAAAAAACAAAGGATCATTTTTTTGTTATATTGACATATCAGTTTATTTCATATTGTTATATATATTATATATTGCTCTTTCAAATTACAATATCCTTGAAAGTCTATTGGACATGTTATTTATTTCTTTTGGTCTCACAGTAGCTAATTACTTCCATAGAAGTGGCCATAAAAGGTACATGTACTCTTGAATGCTATTGCCACCGTATTGTGGGATTTCGAACGTGTGGTTTTTCATAAGGACCCGAAAAGGTACAAGTAGAAGCCAAAAGGCACACTAAGACCCGTTAGGTATGCAGAAAATGGTGAGAATTCTTTAGAAATTGTGAGCAATCCAGAACATTGTTTTTAAAATTATTCAAGCAAAACGATGGATCAAAACGCACTCTAGTTTTTTCTTCCGAAAGACACTCGGCCACAAGATGCTCGGCATTTCGACAATTTTCTCGGTGACAAAAATAATCAATATATTTTGGGTCTGGCCCATTGTCTGTAACAGCTTTCACAAGCTAGAGCATTATTTTTGCACGGAGGGGAACACCAAAGAGCACGATCTAGAGCACGATTTTTGCACGGAGGGGAATACCAAAGAGCACGATCTAGAGCACGATTTTTGCACGGAGGGAAATACCAAAACATCATAATTTAGAGAATAATTTTTGCACGAAAAAATAGATATAAAATGAATAAATTTCTTTTGAAGAGGTTTTTATAGGAAATCCATTTTCCGATTATTATAATATAAATATATATAAATTATAGAGGTTAAATTACATCTAAAATATATTTATATGTATTTTTGGTATTTCCCTATAAATATTTTTTTTTTAGGAATTTGATTTTTTTAAAATTAATATATTAAATTTATTGTAATTAATATGTATTTAAATATATAAAATTTATTAAAATTTTATTTAATATAATAATATTTAAATATATAAAAGGTTGTTTAAATTAATAGGATTTGGAATTAATATAAAATATTGAATTTTATATATT